TAGCCAAAAATATATGTTTCCATGAAATAATCTCGAATCGTCTTATTTTCTTCTGGTTTGCTCTTTTCGCATCATCTTCTTCTGAAAAAATACCGCTATGAAGGGAAAGTACGAAAATTCGTATAATATTCAAAAAACGGTACCTTTGTGATTGTGAAAACATATAAGGTAATGAAGTTGAAAGTAGAGATGAAAATATGAGGAAAACTTGAGAGAATCTCTATTCACTCACCAACGTGAAAAATGCGAAACTTTGATGAAACAACACGAAACACCAGAACAGCACACGATCGCGATAATGTTATCACTGAATTGAATGAGGAATACAAAAACACAATACTTGCACTCATTTTCAAGTGAACACTCCGTTTGGAACGATAAATAATTCATTTCGCGTATTGTTCTATTGCAATCACAAAATTCGACTGTATGTGATGACATCTAATATAAAACTATAAAACTGTCTTGATTCACCACCTGGTCTCGAATGAATGACTAATAGGTTGAATCATGCTGCTATATAACCGATTAATTTCCGAACAAATGATTTATCTATGACCATGATGAAAATTCCACCTTTGATCTACCAGTATACTTTTCCCCTCATTGCTCATGTATACTGTTTCTCCCTAAATTATTTCACAAGATACCTTCATAAAAATCAACAATTATGAATGAATTTGAAATCCAGGACTTTCATTCATGTAAAAACAAATTAACAATAAGGAAAAGTTGGTATCTACCTGCTAGGTAAGAGGTAGGTCATACTTGTACCTATTTTAAAAGGAATCAATGAAGATTATAAAGTGAAACTTCAAAATTGCATCAATAAAGAATGAGGTGTTGATTGAGGTAGTTGTGGAATTGAAATATGAAGTTTGAAAACCTACAATAAAATCATTACAAAATCACAAAAATGCTAGAACTGTTACATATCAATAAAATACAGTATACAGTTTAATAAAAACATACAAGCAGCAAAATTATAAATAAATATTTTCCGTCGACCTCGTAAACGACTAAGTTTAATGTACATGAAATCGTTCATTAATGACCCCTATTAATGAACGATTTGTCTATTAATACACGATTGTTTTATAGGCAACCAAACATACACCGCGTGCATTCATTGTATATGCTATAACTTACGGAATCTGCATTTAAATCGAAAATATGGATTTCATCGACGATTTTCCGTTAACGGGTTCGCCTTTCCAAGTTTCTGACACGATATTAATCCCTGTTTTCTAACACAAGGAATTTATTTCCTATGTTGATCATTCGACAAATGTCAAATGTGTCTAATGTCAGTAACAAGGCTACTGGGTGATTCTTAGCAGTTTCCGGATAGATGATGATTTGGCGAACCAAGTTTTCTTCATTGCAGGAGAAATGAGAAATATAGTCGACGGAAAAATTTTGTAACCAACTTGTATATTAAAAGGCGATTAATGATCTCGAACATTAACGCACTCGCTTCGCTCGCACGTTAAAATATCTCGATCATTAATCGACCTCATTAATACACTAGTTGGTTAAATAACTATTTCAATATACAATTTGAAATGTCATGGATATGTTCAAGTACCTAAATAATCAGTGATATATCCTCAAAAATTTGGATTCAACTTCAAGGAATGAATTATAACTGTATATCATGCTATCAATTGAATCTGGGTTTTGGTTTCAATTTGTGTAGCTATTTGCCTATGATACTCCAACGAATCAACTGTATAAGGAAACAAACACATTTTCTTTGGAAGAGCACTTTTTAATCAATGCTCTCAAAATTTCTTATTATATCATCAACAAAAAGCTTGAATCAAATTTAATATTAATCAGGAATTCCGACATTCATGATCATCACACTAGACAATATAACTTGTTTCATCTTGAAGCTGCAAATTCTATACTTGGGCAAAAAAGTTTACACATGAGGTGATTTCGAAATTCAATAAATTACCAGATGAAATCAAAAACAGCCCAAATATTATGCAATTCAAAAAGTTAAGAAATATATTTATATGCATAGGAATGATCAAACCTGAAAGACTATGAATGTCCTTTTTTTTTCACTGTTTTTATTTTTCCCCTTCTTCTTCACTATAATATGACTGTTATTTTGAGATATCATAATGATATGTAGGTTTTGTTCACTTTTGTAATTTCAATTATACAAGAGTCGATAATACTTCATGAATGATTTTATACCAGGAATTACTGTCTGATCATTCATGTCATTCCTACTAGAAATGAATTATACTTTATATATTATTTGTAACCGGTGTGAAAATAGAAACGGTCGCCGTATCAGAAACGAAAAAATAGTATATGCGCACAGGTGTAAAATGTTATCACATCGATTCTCCCGTTTTAACATTCAGATTTGGACTGAAACCATTGCGATCGAAATGTTTTGCGTCGATATGATGAATATGATGATCATAATGATGAATTGAGGCATACACACAAATTGGGTGCTACTACCCCCATATATAGATGATTGAAAAATATATTCGAAATGTACAGAGCAAACATACCTACCCTGGTTCAGAATTTGTATCTTAAAACTCACCCTGGAAAACCACCCCCGAATAGCTGAACATTATGTAAAATCATCGTTTCTGGGAATTACTTTCTCAAAATATATTGAAAACGAAGAGAGAAAACATACCTACCCTGTTTCAGAATTTGTATCTCAAAACTCACCCTGGAAACTACTCTTTAATAGATGAGTATTATGTAAAATAATCGTTTCTGGAAATTTCTTTCTCAAAATATATTGAAAACGAAGAGAGGAAACATACCTACCCCGTTTCAGAATTTTTATCTCAAAACTCACCCTGGAAACCACCCTCTCATAGATGAAAATTGTGCAAAATAATCGTTTCTGGAAATTTCTTTCTCAAAATATATTAAAAACGAAGAGAGAAAACATACCTACCCTGTTTCAAAATATATTGAAAACGAACAGAGAAAACATACCGACCCTGTTTCAGAATTTGTATATCAAAACTCACCCTGGAAACTACCCTCGAATATCTGAAAATTATGTGAAATCATAGTTTTTGGAAATTTCTCTTTCACAATATATTCAAAACGAACAGAGAGAACATACCTACCATGTTTGAAAATTTGTGTCTCAAAAATCACTCAGAATCTACCCTGGAATAGCTGAAAATTATGTAAGAATATCCTGTCTGGAAATTTCTTTCAAAACTGATAGAGAAAATACTAGTCTTATAGAAAAATCCCTTTTATGCAAATATATATGTATATAACTAAAAATATAATAAAACATAAATAATAATAAATAAAACAAAGTAACAGAATTCATGTAAAAAAAGAAAACATTCTTCTGATAAAAAGACCCTGGGTCACAGAGCATATAACTTATGCTTTGAATATCACATTGTTTTGCAGTTATGAGACTATACTTCGAAATGAGGAAATAAAATGAATCCTCATAGGAATGAAAATAATGACAAACTGACAGCGTTCTTGCAAGAAACTCATTCCCATAAACAGAATATGAACTGTTGGTTGATCATTTCAATGATGTTGTCTCTCAGATAGGCACTACAAATAAGAGTCAATTATCAGTAATAAATATATCTATGAATCACAAATTTACCTTATTGTTTTCATTATTGGACCAATGAAGTGAAGAAAGGTAGTAAGTTTCTGTTGGAGCTGCCAGCATCCAGTTTTCAAATTCATATTTGATTCTCAACGTTTATCCATTTCATCCATTCAACAGAACTGATTTTCTATCATCAGAAAAGACTTCTTGAGTGCAGGAAATTCATTTTAAAAGACATTATAGGTCCTACATTTTTCCATTGGAACCTTCTATTTTTTTTTCGTGAGAGATATAATTCCCATATCACTGATAAACTTGAATCTTCTGTGAGTTGGAATGTTTATTTCTTCATATTGGCTCAATTGGGCTTCCCTGGGGCTGCAGCATGTTATGGTCATATGGAATATCTCCTGGTATGGAATGTATGATGGATCTGAGGCACAAGCTGAGTCTGAGTGAAGTGTAAACATGTGCCAGTAGACAGATTAGCACAGCGCTTTTGGTCAGTTTTTGTGCTGAGATTGTCCATTGCCATTGCAAATATATCAGCTTCTTTCTAATTCACCGATAGTTGGAATGGTTGGGTCATTTTGATATCCTACAGAATATGGTTTGATGAAAGGCTTCTTTGTAGCTGTAATACTATCCGTATTATTTCAATCACACACACGATGTAATGATGATTCAACAATGATTTTTGATATTTTCTGTGATAACTTCGAGAATTAACACAATCACGATTAAATAGCAGGAATAGAATGTATGCACAACAGTCAAAACACACAAAATATGTTGATGTAAACACAACACAGTGCCCTGATAACGCCGCCATCTTGTTTTTGATACAGACAGCGCCCCCAACGGTCGATCACCTTACCAATAGATTCAGTACAATTTATACCCTTTAGTACATTTCACCAATGACGGCTAAATATCTAGACCGTCTAGATATTTAGTTGTCATTCGGCTAAAATTTAGTACAATTGAACATTCATTATGCATTCATTACACGAAGCTACGAATTAAAACAAAAGTATGAATGATTGGCAGATTGTCTGCTCATTATCTCTTTAGCATTTTTCTCATCCATATTCTCAAAATTCCATGTCTGATTCATTTCCCTTGGTTTTAGTACAATTCAATAGTGATTTCAGTACAATTATATTTTTGTTTTGGCAACACTGCCTGTAGTCCTGCATATGCCACTGTTTTTTTTATTATTAGTCAAACTTCAATTGTCATTCTGTCAATTCTGTCATCCATTTATCATCAATAATTTTTTTGATAATAATTAATAGATATTTGATAATTTGATCGATGTAGATGTGTGAATATCTATTTGCTAGTTTGTCAATATCAATTATTAGCCAATTATTCTATTGAAACCAACTTGAGTTGAATTTCTCTTGAAAACCTGTGATCATGACAAACATAAAATTTTCAGAAAGAGCATACTGCAAAATGGTGCTTCACGCTGCAAAATACCCCCATTGCAGTGTTAACGGGGTACTTTTAGCAAAAACACCTCCACTTAACAACAACAAAGAGGTCGAATTCGTAGATGTGATACCATTATTTCACGTTTGCATTAACCTAACACCAATGGCAGAAATTGCCTTAATGCAGGTTATATAAAAAGCATCAGGGCTGTGCTGGAATCAAAAATGTTTGTGTTTCAGATAGACGCCTATGCTTCAAAAAGAGGCCTTATCATTGCAGGTTACTATGTAGCCCCAGAAAATATCAGAGATGATTCCTTTGATAGGTGGTATAACAGAATTGCTGATAAGATTGCTGTTAACTGTAGTTCAGCATATGTGGTCATAGTAAGTAGTAGAACCATTTGTTATTGAATATGTTATGTACTCTGTCTTCTTTTCAGTGTGACAAAGATTGTCCTGAGAATGGGTTTTATTATAATTGTTGTTTTTCTAGGTCAATAGTACTGAAACGGGAATTCAGAATGGCAGAAGAATGTTGAGAGTGGCTCAGTACACTGATGGTAGTTACAGACAATGTGAAGATCTGTGTATTTCTGATGATGCTATCAACATTTGTATTAATGGAACAAATGAAGCTTTGTACAATAAATTAGTAGATTTTGATAATCATCTTGATGACATTGGTTTGGACTGGACAAATAGTTCATTGAATGAAGATATCCAAGCTTCTTTATGAAGAACATAGTTTGTTCTGTGATGTTTTAAAAACATTCATAGATTTGCCCCATTCTCATTCCATTTGTTTTCAGGTATTTTCACAATACCTATTTGTGCAATTTCAATACACAAGTCATGGAAGCTTTTGATGCAAGTACATATTTCAATATAGATGAAACAAAGATTAGTTTTTTATTGTTCAATAGACCTTGTACTAATCACATATACCCAACAAGTTTCTGATCATACATTTTTTACCTTAATATCACCAACCCATGAAGTTTTGTTATGGGCAAAAAATCAGGAAGGTTTCAGTCAAGTCTTTTGATTATTTCAGATTTTTATATTGTTTGTTAATTATGCATATTAAATATTAAAATACACCTATTCTTTGATTTTTTTCAACATCCTGAATGCAGACATGCTCATTATTCATAATACTTATAGATGTTTGTGGATTTGAATGAATGCAATCAAACAGTACAATAAAAATTATATTCAATAATAACTAATTTACACAACTCAATTTGATACACAGATTTCCCTATGAAATGTGCTGAAATGCCTAAGATTAAAGCAGAAACCATCAGATTATTGCTAGAACAACAATTCCACAGAAATATATCAACACAGGGTTAAAACTAGAACTAGACTGTTTAATAATCCTACACAATTATCATTTGATCCAATTACATTGCACATGAAACCACTCAATCATAATTTGGAGCTTATTCAAATTAGGTAGTATCCAGATATACAGAGCATATTTTTATTTTATTCATCTCAGTTTGTTTCCAATGGGAAACTGTAACTTTCATGAAATGTCTATACAGAGTGTTCCAGCTTTGACATGATCACATAATATGATAGAAAGCATGACAATTGAAAAAATAACATTGACTGTTCCAAAGGAATCCCATGAATATGGAATAAGCTATAAGGGCAAGATATTTTTTTGTTGCACCATTTTCTATAGATATTCATATTATAAGCAAGTTTCAAAATGAACATGTTTTTTACAATATACACATGAGTATTAATTGAAACAATAGCCAGGCATTGAGATATAATTTTTTCACAATGAAGAAAAATGCATTCAAGTGAAACATCAAGATCTATGCTATTGAATGTGGAGCTGAAATTAAAATGAAAATTGTTCTTTATCCCCAATCAGATGTAAACAGTGTGTGCCTTGAGAATCTGAATATTTCAGATTTGTCCACATTTTCCAAGAGAGTTTATTGAGTAGGTACTATATCATGGAATTTTTTTTTTTGAAAATCTGTCAACAGATTCCAAATTAGGAAGATGTGAGTTGAAACCTTGAAATTGCACACTCTGCATTTAAATAGTTTAGTTCAAACTGTGATTAGCATCATTTGTGAAATGTCATGCCCAGAATTTCCTTACAGAATCACATATACAGAGGTAAATAATCTTTGTTCACATGGAAAATATTTTTGTTTCACTCTTGCATGCATTTAAATGTAAGCCTAGGATTACAATATAAAAAATTATAATATTCAGAAGCACAGGAAAGCCAACTCAAACCCAAAAAAATCAAGTATAAGCTCATATTCACAATTTTTTGATATTTTATAGTTTCTTATTTTTTATATGACCCAAAGAATCTCAAGACTTGTCAATGATTTTCGAATTTTCAGTAGCTATTTGTGATTTCTAGATGTAATGTAAACCTTTGAATAAAATAAATAGATTAATTACAGCATGATTTTGTGGTATTGGACTGCTGCCTCCTATCTACCATCACCCTGTCTATAGGGTCACCTGGTTCTTTGCCTGCTGTTTTATCCAAAATAGCTTCTGCAAGTTCACTAAATGCTCTCTCTATGTTGATGTTTGCTTTTGCAGAGGTCTCCATGAATCTTATACTGTGTTCTCGAGCAATCTTTGTAAACAAAATTACAAAAAGAATTACAAAGAAATTATTTATTTGAGTCATGATTGAATGATATGATGATTATATCCCATGAAGAAATTGAATCTTCTTCACTTTTTGACAAAACAAATGATTCATGGGAAACACTGAAATAAATTATCAAATGTTTCATATTATCTGAAATGTGAATATCAATTAGCAGTTAATTAGTTCACAACAAATTTTGAAAATAACCAATGACTCATATCATATATCATAACCCTGATAATCACTATTTAGACAATAATCCTTTATCTCTTTTACAGGAAGTAGGAACATAATATCTTCTATACAAAAAACAGAATATTATTATGATACATAGGCATATTTAATGGCTAATAGTCTGAAATTCGTTTCAACTTTATGACAATTGATAGGTATAGGAATATTTTTATATTTGATCATTATTTTCAAGAACACTGCATGAATGTAAAAATGTGTGCAACTCACCATTTCTCCTCTGTCTTTGCTAACTATTCTCTTATCTGTCATATCACATTTGTTTCCTAATATCATCTTTTCCACATCTTCATTAGCATGCTAAAAATATTATATTTTCCTGAACTCTTTGAAAGCATGATATGAGTGAATTTTCTGTAAAATTTAAATAATCAAATAGCATACCTCATCTATATTTCTCAACCATTTTACTATATTCTCAAAACTCTTTTCATTTGTAATATCATACACTAGCATTATACCCATAGCTCCTCTATAGTAGGATGTGGTGATGGTGTGAAACCTTTCTTGTCCTGCAGTATCCCATATTTGGAGTTTGATCTTTTTTCCCCTTAATTCTACAGTTTTTATTTTAAAATCTATACCTGCAAATGGAATGATATTATATGTTGAGAGGTCCACTACCAATACTTGTTTTCATCAATAACATAAACAAATTATCAATATGAGGAGTACAAAGGGTGTTCATTAAAATTAGGGAAAATCCTAAAAATAAATCACTTACCTATGGTTGATATAAACGTTGTTGTGAATGCATCATCGGAAAATCTGAAGAGTATACAAGTTTTTCCTACTCCTGAATCGCCAATCAACAGAAGTTTAAATAGTAGATCGTAAGTCTTTTTTGCCATTTTTATTAATTAATCTTTGATTTTTGATTGAACCCAAATAAACCAAACCTATAAAGTCAGAAGAAGAATGAAGGATGTCAAAATTCATTTTTTCGATTTATATTTTAATCAGTCGCATTTTCTTAGGTTTCTTGGCTCTTGGGTTCATTGCTAGTATCGTACCCTTACTGTATTGTGCTTTGTAGTCACTCCTGTTGTCATTATCATGTCACACTGTCAGTGTCAGGCAGGTCAGTCACGACAGTCAGGCAGGGTTACTAAAACAGTAATACCGAGAAGTCGAGAAGAGAAGCTCTAGAATATTGGCCGGATCAAGATTTTCGATTTATTCCCCGATTTCTGCATTCGAAGTTCGAAGAAACCTTCCCTGCTTTTTCTCTCGCTGCTCTGGAATATTTCAGGTATGTGAATTCGAATTTATTCAATTTATATTGACATCGTTTGGAAAATATGGATACAACTAGACGATGACTCATTCAGCCATAAGCTGTCATTTTGTAAAAATGGTAAACAAACATCTCCAATGTTAATAAATAATATGATGATAACATTTTTTATGCCTTCTGCTCTCATTGTTACACTTTCCTTATTGGTGGTTTATGAAATTCTGGAAAGGAATAAATCTATAATAGCTATATTAATCTATATATAATTCATGCTGATATACTGTGGTATGACTCAATATATCATGTATAATCATTATCATTCATCCAACATCCAACTGATATCCCACATAAATTCGATTCACTGGCTGGAAATTGCTTCATGTCATGGAAGATAATGTAACAATGTCATTCAATGTGAACCTTCAGTTCAGAACTTTCAGGTTTTGTTTGTTCTGTTGAACTGGACCAGAAAGAAAACACAATTCAGTATTTCTAGGTGTCAACTTTGATAGAATCTAGCAAGATTATTGAATAAAATATGCTATCAAATCAGAACTTTGAAACAGAGAACCTCACTCTTATCATTTTATTTTGGAGAAATGCAGTGTTCATGGGTGTACACTCATTTCTGGTATAACAACATGGGGTGGCACTTCATATTCACAAATTGTATTCACCATCACCAACACAAGTTTTTGTAAAATATAAAACCCTACCTCTTGAATGTTTATATTATATTCTTGAATTGATATTTTATGTGCAGAAACATGAAGTTGAGTTCATTAAAAAAAAGATGTTCATGAAGACTTCACTATTAATAGAAGTCAATTTCATATCCCATTTGCATGTATAAATCTAACAAAGAGACATTTTAGGGCTTGGGTTTTGGGTTGTATAATGTTTTATCAGAGGATATCAGAAATTCATGAAAAATGAAAAACTTTCTGAGAGGCAGGTAAAGTTGTTTAATTTCGGAAAGTGTCCATATTCTGTGGACAAAAAATGTTGATTTGTCTTTGATCCACTGGTTTAATATACAAGGTGTCCCAGAACAATGTATCATAAATTCTACAGGGTGTCTTTTGAGGAGTGAGAGGGGGATGAAGAACAATTTTATTTCTAGATTTTCTTTAATATTTAGAAATTCTTGAGAGGTACTGCTCTGAAATTCGTAGGGCAATTTACTATAGTGAATGTGCATGGAATACATGTCATACCAATTCAATATACAGGGTGTCTGGAAAGGTCATGACGGTTTTTCAGTGAATATGTTTCACACAGGATGGGACGATTTTTTTCTGTTTAATGAAGGCATTTTTGACACAGGTGATAAATTTCATATTTTGCTTCCACCGTTTGATTCCTTAATCTTTTATCTACAAAAATGGTACACTGTATTTCAATCCATATCTTGTTCTGTTCTAGAGAAAATCGCCTATTAAAACATACATTCCAACCGTTTCACAGGTAATAAAAGCTTCATTTACCTATTTAATGACATCAGTGAAGACAAAAAGATTATCAAAAATGGTTTTCAATAGGTGCATCTTGAAGTTCAATGCATTTTCTGAAGTTGTCTACACATCTGCCTTGTTCTCCAGATAACATGATGTGATGATTACAATTTCTTATTATGGCATGTGTAGATGTAAGGATTTGATTCAAAAGCTCATCCTCAATATTTACAGGTGATTTATAGACTAAACATTGTGAGATAGCCACAAAGGAATAAATCAAGTAGATTAAGATCAGGTGACCGAGGGGGCCATGGGAAAGGACCATGGGGAAATGATGAAAATATATACTTTTTCAACTTCTGAAGTTCCAATGTACTCTGGGTTTCCCCCTAATTTATTTCAGTTTGATTTATTACCATCTAAGGATAGGGTTCCTGTGATAAGCAAGAATCATTTATGTTTTGTCTATGTATACATATTGAGCCTTGTACATTCACATTTTCATCATTATGCTGTCCCTGGACTACCACCAGGTGGGCCTTTCTGGCATTGTATTTAATTTTGATAGATACTCATGACTATAGGCTAGGTAGAAAATGTGACCCTGTATTTGTATTATATTGGTTTTTATGTTTTAGATTTAGATAAATTAATATAACATAGACCATATAGTTTTTTTCTATTGTGTATATTTTCATTTGTTATTTTCTCTGTAATTTATGAATTGACTATGGCATCAATTGTTTAGTAATATTTTTATAAATTGATAATGATTTTGTCACTATAATATTTTTAAATGTTTAAATATATTATTTTTTTGCAAAAAAAAAATAAACTGTGGTATTACATTCCAGTCTCTTTTTGATTCCAGGTTGAGAAGCAGTCATGTCAAATTGGAATAGTGGACCTTACCCAGCAGGTAGGACATGATCATAGATTAAATGACATTAAAAAAGTTTTCAAATGAGTAAAATCCCCAAATTTATTATTCATAACATTTGATTTATTGAAGGGACTTGACAATGAATAACCTTATCATCCTTATCTTGGTAATTTGCTGTTCAAATTATTTGTCACATTCATTTTGATGTTCTATTTTTAGCAGTCAACTGAAAATTATTTTTCTGTATTTGAGAAGATGATCGATATTGAAGCAAACAACAATCACATGGAGATGATTGATCAGGGATTTTATGATATCAACATTATCCAATTAACATATATTGAAATTTCAAAACAAAATCCTGGGTGGAATGGTCTTTTCCAAATGATGCTTCCAAACTTTATCTTCTCATTTCCCTAAACATTTCCTATGTACACAGAGAGCATGATATCAGATTGTTTACTATAAAATCGTCAAAATCACTACAAATTTGATGAGGCTGAGCTGAAACTAGAAAATAGTTGTACTTGTGAAATATCAGCTCTATCAGCAAAATTGAATTGAATTACCCACTTCAATGATTTTCTGTCCAAAATATTAATAAAGTCTGAATTCAATTGTTCTGGTGCTACCAGTAGTCTATAATGGAAAACGAAAAGTATTTATTTTTGAAATCAGAAAAAGTAACATTCAAATTATCCAATATTTTAATTAAAAAAAAAACCTTTTCATGCCTCTTCAGAATGTCTTGAAATATGTAATACATTCTTTTTTGTGATATATCATGTTTTGAAAATTGTGAAATTGATACTCAATATCCCTGAACATAATCATGTTCATATTTTTTTACTTCACTCCACTTTGGGAATCAAAGCTAGCTGATTGTAAAATTGCGACTTTTTCAGTGGTATTTTTTTTCAGTCCCATCTAGTTTTGTAATCATCACAAGATAATACATGAGGCAGCTCAACAATCATTATTTTTAAAAACTAATCTCAGAAATCATTATTTTTCAAGGAATTTCTCTAATTAGAAATAATGTGAGTTCAACTTAAATAAATAATGATAATGAAATAGTACCTAGGTGAATAGTGGAAAACATTGAGTATACAAAAAATGTATTCCATTATTTTGAAATACTATCTCAAGCTAGTTCTTTGTCATTTTTTCTCAGAGCTCTGTAAATTTTATAAATAATCATTGAAAATCACAATATATTATGTATTCTGTGTATCTCAGTACATTTCTACTGTAGAAGTGAATTCTGAACTCTGTGTGGAATGTTGATATATTTTCAATGATTGTTAAGAAATATATTTTAGGATATGATTATTTTCATTATGAAAAACAAAATTTGCAATGATACTCTATTATAAATTGGCTAGTGTGTATAACCCCCATTAGAGTGGGTAATTTACTCATGAATTCCTGTTCTCATTTTTGTAAACGGTAGCATATTCATCTGATCCTCATGTCTGATCCCATGTTATTGCTCACCTCTCACCCTAGGTGTATAATATACTATTTTTCTTCTCTTAAACGATCCATAGATCCCAACCAAGCCTACTATGCAGGCCAACCAGGCTATCCACCGCAACAAGGGGGCTATCCGCCGCCGCAGGGAGGCTTTCCCCCCCAGGGGGGCTATCCTCCCCAACAAGGGGGCTACCCTGGCCCGGCTCCTGGATTCCAGCCGCCGCCGTATGCCAGCAATGATCCTTATAGTGCAGGTGAACATGTTCCCTTCTCTAGCTCACCGGCTGGTTCGTTTCTGATTTCTTATGATTTTTTTCTGCTTGAATGATGGGCGATTGTCATCAATTCGCATATTATTTGGAATAACTCTGACAGATTTTTATTGTTTTAAGAATGAGTGTGAATTAGTTTATATTAATTTTTAGCACTAATTTTATTATCCCATCAATTATCATTTCTATTTTTTGAAATCAATTTCAACAAGCTTTTGTTCTTCCATTATGAACTTTTTTCATTTATCTACCCCAGTGATTGTGAAGAATTATTCATTGCCTATATAATTGAAAATAAGTTTCTATTTCTATAAAGAAAGTTCTGATATGAATTTCATGATCTTCATTGACTATTAGTATTTTGTTTATTTCTTTATTATTTATATTCATGAAGATTCATAGCATTTGAAGCTTGTTGAAATTCTCTCTTCTAGTTTTCTGTCCCTCAAATGCTCATAAATTGTTTTTGCTTTAGCAAATATGTGTTGGGTGTTGGTTTAGTGTACCCATCCTTATACTCTGCTTGTTTTGTAGAAAGTGATTAAATATATTTCAGGAGTGTCGTGCACAACTTTAGTTTTTGAAAGTTGTTGAAATTTTGCACATCTGAATTAATTCAGATAGTTGTGGACTATTCCAAATAAAAGAACTTAGTGATAAACAAATACAATCCTAGTCACTCTTTAAATGTTTTTAGGGTTTTAATTATCTTTAAAAAAAATATCCTAGCAGAACAAGTACTCTTATTGTGTCTGAATTTCGTCGGTTTTTTTGGATGTGCTAAAGAGAATCATTTCATTAGATTTGTGTAAAGTGCTTCCTGAAATCAGATTTTGTTGTATTTTGGTGGGTTTTCGCCGTTTTTGTGAAGTGTTTTTTGTACTCAACTCTATATAAGGGAATGATTACATAGCATAGAATATAAAGAAGAAGGGAAGGCTTTTTGATAATATGTAAGCCCTATTTGCAAATCTCATAATATTAGACTCATTCCTATTTCAGGCTTGCATTGAATTAAATATAATAAAATACAGCTTTCAGGTCTTGATTCCGGCTACTTAGTTGATGAAATAAGGGTTTAGACATTCATAAATGCTCACGCAGTTTTTATAGTATATTAATGTAATATTGAACCTTGAAGTATGTGTGCAAAGCTTCATATTATGAGAATAAAATGTCTCCAAATGAACACAAAAACTCAACTTCGGGAAATTACAAGCTATATTTATGAAATTTATATCTGCTATGTACCCAACTAATTACAGTAACAAATCTTATCTTTTGGTGTTCCAATTTGAATAGTGTGTATGACAAAATATGAATATTTGACTGCCATTTTCATAAATCTGATTCACCTTCCTGTCTCTTTATATTGTATGGTGTGACTAAGGTCGTCAATATGTTGGAGCGACGACGAGATTATTACATTGTTTCAAATAACAAGGGAACTAAGAAGGATATCAAAAGAAATCAAGCACAGATAACAAGGTTAATAAATGAAGATCATTTTTCATCAGCTATAATTCACGATTAGTGTTCCAATGGAAAAAATTAGTAGGGTTCCATATCAGTGGATATGAAAAACATAACACCCAGTATAGTTGAGACCCCTCTATTGATACGGACTTTTTATATTGCTTACCAAATTTAAAATTGCTAGATGAAAAACGGCTGGATGATTGTTGGAAAAAGGCTAGATAATGGCTAAAAATGAAAGCGTGCCGCAGACAGAAAAATTTTTTAGCCATTTTTTGCAATATTTCTTGCAAAAACAAGAAATCTGACCTTGGACTATGACTCTGGCATTGAAAATGTTAGTCAATACTGCATTCCAAATAAGAAGACAGTAGGTGGTGTCCACTTAAAGAAAAATTCAATCTTTACGTCACATCAAACCTCATAATATCAGCCAGGTGTAATATTGCCTCCAATACCTATATGGAATGCGTGCAAGATCTGTCTGATGACCGACCCTGGAGGCACAACATTGAAACACAACCTCACTTTTCTCATTTGTATACAAGTGATTGAAATAGTTTTTCACAATTATTTTGGCATACGAATCGTATGTTTCGGGTATTCATTAATGCATTCATGCCATCACATTGTGCTATTGTACAATGCACAAAAACTGCAGCGGAAGACGAAGGAATCTGGTTGGTACATTATGATTTGAAAAGTACCTACTATAGTCACTCACATATAGTTTTCATTTTTGAAATTCGGTAATTCCTCTGACTTCTCATCGGGATTCCTTCTGCAATAGGAGCTAATAGTTAATACTCGTAAAATTTCTAAAATAATGCAAGAAGATTGAATTCATGCAATCAAACGGAAGGACTGGTCTGACATGCTGACGAAATAAGAGCATGTGTGTTGTAGACATTTTCAATCTATTATTAGCTTGTATTGCAGAAGTGGCAGAAGGAATTTCAATAAGGAATGACAACATTTTATATACCTGAAAAATCATACCTACTCCTTCGTCTCTCGCTGCATTTTTTGTGCATTGTACAGCAGCACAATGCGAAAGCATGCTTGAATTAATGAATAGCGCAAAAAACACGATTCGTATGCCAAAATATTGTGAAAAACTATTTCAATCCTTTGATTCCTCTGTAAACAAATAAAAAAATCAGGTTGTGTTTCAATATTGTGCCTCCAGGGTCGGTCATCGTGCACGCGAAGGTCAACACTTCCCTATGGTTTCCAATGCTAACTTTTAAAGTGGAATGGACAGAAGCTTAGTTTATCGCTGGGCGATTTTGGCTTCTTCGATACTAGCGATGAAGGTGATGTTATTATTGGTCAATTTGAATTGGGTAGTCATCATCGACCAATAGTAACATCACCCGTTTCATCGCCAGGAGCCAAAATCGCCAAGCAATAAACATAGCTAAACTCAACTCATGTAGAATTGACATTGACTTATGACGTGATGTGTTGACGTCATTGGCGTCAATTTGTCAAAATGTCACAGAGCATGGAGTACAAAACCAATAAAAATACAGACTATTCAGACTGGTCTGAATTTGACTTAGATTAGATCGTGAATATAGAGTGAACTATATCTATATGAATATTATAAATAAATATGAAGATAATTTTACAGTCAGAATAAAAAATAGCTAGAAAATATTACCAAATGGCTAGATGAGTTCAAAAAGTGCTAGAACTAGCCATAAAATGGCTGAGTTGGCAGCACTGCTCTGCTCCAACATGTTAGCGGCCCAAACATCATCCACCGGCCGTTCAACTCACCGCTTCTTTTCAGGAAACTATGGCGGGGCAGCCTACCCCGAGGACCCCGAAGTCAAGGGTTTCGACTTCAGCGACGCCAGCATCAGGCGCGGCTTCATCCGCAAAGTCTACGCCATCCTCTCCTGCCAGCTGGCCATCACGGTGGCCTTCATCTGCTGGTTCCTCTATCACTTGCCCACGAAGAGGTACGTTCAGAGCCATCCAGCGCTCTTCTTCGTGTCTCTGGCTATGGTGATCATCGCGCTGATTTGCCTGGCTTGCTGCGGCGAGGTGCGCAGAAAGGCACCGATGAATTTCATTTTTTTGTTCATTTTCACGTTGGCTGAGTCTTTTATGTTGGCTGCGGCAGCTTCGACTTATGACGCGCAGGCTGTCGTTATGGCTGCCGGGATCACGGCTGCGGTTTGCTTTGGGCTGACGCTCTTCGCGTTCCAGACCAAGTGGGATTTCACGGTGATGGGGGGTATTTTGTTCGTTGCCGTGCTCATTCTGTTTATTTTCGGTATCGTGGCCATTATCGTGAAAAATCAGATTGTGCAGATGATTTATGCGTCGTTAGGGGCGCTGATTTTCTCTGTTTACTTGGTTTATGATACGCAGTTGATGATGGGAGGGCAGCACAAGTATTCCATTTCGCCTGAGGAGTATATTTTCGCGGCTATTAATTTGTATGTGGATATTATTAATATTTTTATGTACATCTTGGCTATTATTGGGCATGCTAGGGACTAGAGAGGTTTCGTTTGTCATTGGTGATTGGAGTTCAGATGAACTATAACCGTTTTTATTGTCGTGATTTCATCAAGGATTACCCGTTAGGTGTTGTGTTGATTGCCGAAAAATATTATTTAGTCATACAAGGCTTAGTTGTAGCAGAAATTTTGATCAAATATCTCAACTCAAAGAGGATAAGTTGTTAAAAGCTTGCAGGTACAGGTACTTGAAACTATCCTATACAGTTGAAATCATCTCTCTCATGATTCTCTCAAGATGGTGTGTTCATCTATTCTCCAGGTATTTTCACAAGAAAGAAATACTTATTTATTTTGAAAGAATTATTATTTTAATTTTATCGTCAGGTTATGAAAGCTAAGACATGATATATTCCTGATATTTTCACCATGATGAGCTGTATTCACTTTATTACACCTACTAAAAATTGCATGAAAAATTGAGTAAAAGTGGGGTAGTTGTAAATAATTTCATAGAAAATTTTGTTTAATTTCATCCATTTAGTTGCTTTCATTTTTCTTTCCAGTTATATTTTTTTATTCCTGATGTTGACCAATATTTGCTCATTTTCAAGCAGTCAATTGTTTAAATTTTATGAAGGTAATAAAGATATATAGATGTTACTGTACCCATATATTTTTACGAAACTTGAGAATTAGCAGGAAGATTGAAAAGAAAATTAATAAAGATTGATGAATACTTTAATGAAATATTTAAATATTAGAATTATTATTCGGGTGTTGATGAAATCATAAGGAAGTTTTCCAAATGATTCTTGTATTATAACACATACATGAAATTATATTCTGAAATTGAATGTGACTGATGGCAATATTTTATCGACACCCAGTATATATTTAGTCTTTTATAATATATACCAGTAGATTGAAGATTCTTCATGAATACTTGAGGCTAATTTGGCTATGCAAATCCTACTTATACATGCTGTTGTAGATAGAAATATTATTGACTGTATTTCCACCTAATATAAGTATTTTCTTTTATCATATAGTTGCATCTGTTGTGTTATGGTATAACCGTGAAAAATAAAGGTAATATCAATGATTATAAGAGTTTCATTTATTTGAAACCTCAATATATAGGTATCCCATGATACTAAGATAAGATCATTCAAATGTATTAGCATACAAAAGTTATCGTTATCTTGAAAGAAGAACTTATTTGAAGTCACAGACCACCCACCCTAATCAGACTCGTGAATTTCCATAAATGGATATGCAATTCAAGCAGGATTTATGTGCATGCAAAATTCACCTATATAATAAACTTCGTACATTTCATGCACATTTAGTATATTATCACGTTGTCATATGCTAATAATTAGAGTTCCTGTATATATTTGACAATTTTGCTTTACATTACAGGGACTCTACTAATAAATTGACTAATAAATACCTACTGTGTAATTACTATTATATTAACGATAATCTAGTACAAAAACCGGAACCTGAGATTGGAGAAAAAATATGTTATAATAATTGGTATCCTAATGAGGACTTTCAACAACGGAAAAACCAGCTGTAGATATAGATTTATTGATTCGACTAATTTGAACAATCTCAATCTGTGATCACTGTGATCTAATATCTAATCCATTTCATTTCAAACATTCTTATTTTTGGCTTTTTCGGTGTTTTCATGTGCTGTATATTATTTGTCTAAATTTTTATCAATAAATAATATGAAGTTTTAGATTGTTTCATCAAATGTGTGAATCGTAAATTTTTTGTGGTACCCATATTCTCAATTTAGTACAATTTAGTTGAATTTAACACAATTTCGGAATGATTTCTAGTACAAATTGAAATCCTAAAACGGCAACGTCGTCACGAAGACACCTACACTCAAATCTACACTAACCTACACTGACCGACAGTCAGCTTGGACACAGACAACAAAATCTTGAAATGTTGAAAATTGAAATGTTGAATTTTAATAGTTGAAATTTTGGAGATGAAATGGTGATTGGATTGGTGACATGGTGACATGCTGATTGCCATTTGCCACTTGCCACTCTTGCCAGTTGTTAGTTGTTACTTTGTTGTTACTGAGTGCTGACATTGCTATATTGCTAAACAAATAACAATCTATATTGCTGATTCAACTGGGCGTTTTCGGGATAATTTTTGAAATAAAAAAATAAATTCACTGGTTTTGTCATTTTCATCAACAAGTACACAATAAATCGAAAATTCCTTGTTATCTATAGTGTTATAAATTGGTGAGTAAAAACAAGTCTCTTAAAAGGGTGTGGAATAGTATAATATTCTATATAAGGCATACACGATTTCACTTTGCTTGGATTGGAGCTGTATGATTCACACTTTCTTTGCCAAATGTGGTGAATACATATTGTTGAATTCTGCTGTAGTAGTGGGAAAACATTCTTCACATCTTTTTATCATCCTGAAACTTCTGAACTTTGCAGAAAATGTCTTCCCGAAAAACTGTGAGTCGTCGTGGAACTACCAAAAAACGTGCCCAAAGAGCTACCTCCAATGTTTTTGCAATGTTTGATCAAGCCCAGATAGCAGAATTCAAAGAAGCCTTCAATATGATTGACCAAAACCATGATGGCTTTGTAGACAAAGAAGACTTGCATGATATGTTGGCCTCTTTAGGTAAGTCACCCAATTTTTTTTTACTCTACTTTATGCTATACCCTAGGAACTGAACTTGTGATAGACTAAGTGCTGGTATTATGTGATATTTTGGTAGGTAAAAACCCAACTGACGACTATCTGGATGGTATGATGAATGAAGCACCTGGTCCCATTAATTTCACCATGTTTCTGACTCTTTTTGGGGAACGGCTACAAGGCACAGATCCAGAAGATGTCATCAAGAATGCTTTTGGTTGCTTTGATGAAGACAACAATGGTGTTATCAATGAAGAACGTCTCAGAGAGCTTCTAACTTCCATGGGAGACAGGTTCACTGATGATGAAGTTGATGAAATGTATAGAGAGGCCCCCATCAAGGGTGGGTTGTTTGATTATGTTGAGTTTACACGTATTTTGAAGCATGGAGCAAAGGATAAGGATGAGCAATGAAGCTGTTTGTTGTTTTTCTGATGATTCCTCTACTGGCATTCTTTGTTCTTGGGCTTCAAGCATTTTATTGAGTACTATTGGATAATAATAATATATTTAGGGTTCTTGATCTTTCTTGTTTCAAACTATTAAAAATGCTTTTTTATTATTGATCATGGGTTTGACTAAATATTATCCATTTGGATATTTCTCTTCTCTCAGTATTTACTTTATTTATAAGAAAATTTTATTATGGAATTAGTTTTTGTATCTTTATATCTTCAAAAATATATCTGTACAGACCAAAGTTGTATTTCAAGTTATTTAATCAGGTATAATTCTGGATTGAACTTGAACCAACAATTCCTCATGATTATCTAAGAATCTACCATTTGTTCCTCCATTCCTGATAAAAAATTAGCGTACACCACCTATCGGACTTCTTGAAAACTGTCAAAGCGGCCTATTTACCTTGTTTTCATTGGTTCACATTTGTTTTTTGTTTGTGCTTATTGGTCATACCATCAAAACAAACCGCTCAGAATTGTTCTATTTGTTGCCGTTAGATGGGGCGACGTGTTATCTTCTATCAGAAACAGCTCACAGTACCTTTCACAATTTGTTATTTTTTTCTTGAATCTTGACTGCTAAATAAACATGACACACATTATTCATTATTACTGTTAATTGTTATCATAATATTGTTAGCTCCATCGATTTTGCCACTAAATATATACTTTCTTCCTTGTTGAGTTAATACCTTGATATTTATTTCATCATTGGAATCAATCTAAATTATATCCAATTGTATCCTGAATGTAGGCAACACGTTATACGTTACAGTCGCGCGCTAGTCAAATCAGAGTTTTCAAGAATAATTTAATGACTTGAAATAGTGCAAATACACATTATTGAGACAAGAGTTTATTGTTCCATAATGGTATATTGTGCGAAATTGATCTAAATTTCAATAATAATTAATCATCCTGGTGAATTATTTTTTACCAACAATGAATTAAAATAATTAATAATAAGTAGTATTGGTGAAAACATCAGTGCATGGGTTTTTCATAATTTATTTATTATCGATATTTGTTCTAAATTTCACATTATAGTGGGTGCTGTGTCAAATAGTGATATATAATAGATATGGTTGGGATATAACTGATTGAAATACAAATAGGGTGAGTAGGTTATTTATATGTACAGGGTGTAACATATACTTAGGTACGTTTAAATATTCAAGTGACGTATTCCTGAGACCATTTTAAGAAAAAAGACCTACTTATATATGAACTTGTGTCCGGAAGATACGGGGTGTTGAAATTGAATTTGTTCGTTCGAATTTTGAAAACACTGCAAAAAATAAGTTATTTTCTCAAAATTTGTTATCCAGTTTTTTTTTTGACGTGAAAAATCATACTTTTATATTAATTATATTATGTAATCTCTAGAGGGCGCTGCGTACAATGTCATTATTCATCTCAACATTTTTGACAGTAAACTTTTGGTACTTTTCATGGAAAATCCTTATTGCGCCATATCTTTTTCAAGTGAAAAAGCAAAAGGTACATTTCCTCAACAACGCTATGGAGGTGATCGTTTTTGCGATATTTACAATTTTCTATATCGAGGCATAATTATGTTACTAGTTCCTATTTATAGGGGCACTAAATTGAAGTTGCTGAGAATATTACAAAACCAAGTATGTGGTGTAGGTCTCGTCAAAATAAAATACATTTTTTCTATGAAATGCGATGTTTATCAAAGAATTATTTGTTCTCTGTATTTCAACACCCTGTATCTCCTAAATGAAGCATTCCTGGACCCAAGTTTATGTAGACTTTTTTTCTTAAAATTCCACAAAAAACACTGATTCTTGATTTAAAGATATATAATACAACTTTCATACATAATGTTTCATATTGGCATTCGGAAACACATCTTTTTCATTCTCAGCTAGACCTAACTTCCTCCAAAAGTCAACATTACCCAAAGATTTCGTTTTTTCCATTTTCACATTGTCCGGCCCAGTGATATTCAAATACACCAGCTCATCCCCTGAGGTAGGTTTCCATGGTACATTGGCGTCGAATACAGGTAATCTAAAAACAAAATGATTCGATCAAAACAAAAAAAATACCCACATATTATATAACCCGAGGTATAACCTAATGTTTAATGAACACGAAATGATAGTGATTTCAGTTGGACATACCTATACCATAGATTAAAGGGTCTCTTTAATCTATGGACTATAACCCCATTTCCGGATATTTTCTCAACAAATCAACATCAAGATCAAATCGTATATTCTCTAAACTGTGATTAGATTTTAATAAAACAAAACTAACTGAGAATGTGATATTTTCATTATCAAGTCCTAATTTTTTATCATAAGAAGGCACGTTCAAAATGCATTGTGAGTCAAAATAAAAAATGACACTTTTCTCTTAAACGGTTTTACAGCATTCTTACAAGAATACTTTTTCCACGTAAAAGTGTTTGAAGAATAATATTCTGGTAGTAGAATTAGTAAAAATGACAAAAAAGTGATTGTCATTCCAGTTGGACAGCATTATTATACGTCGCACGTATACAGGGGGATCCAACGAAAATTTTACTCCTCGGTTTAAGGGCTTTTGAAATGAAAAATATATATGTCCGGATAATCATTACGAAGCCCTGAAATCGGGGTGTAAAGTTTTCGTTGAACTACTCTATACCGCGTGACACAGACTTATGGACTTTTCTCCTTTAGTTTACTAGAAATATTTCTGAAAATGTGCTAAAATGTGAAATAGTGCCCTATAGTGATTATGTTCGATGTTCCAAATTTCAGAAAGATATAGCTAGTCAGTGTCACTGGGTATATATGACGCCATGAAATTTTTGTATCATGAAGTTTTCTGCACTTACCCTGTTTTTGCAAAAGCAGAGTACATCTGATGACATTTTTCCTTCATATCCTTATCACTTTTTGACAAATATTTCGTTAAACTGAAACCAAAGCAGTTAATAGCATCTGATGCATGTGCTATTCCTGAAAAAAAAAAATTAGCAAAAACTGCCAGATGGCCGAAAATGCATTTCTTTTTCCTAACCCCCAATGTCTCCTTTCTCGCAGAATACTGCTGAAGAACTTATATTTGGGCTTTGATAGTTGAAATAATAGAAATAAACTGGGGATTTTGTAGCTGCAGCATGCAGCTTTGCTGCTTCTTCCGTTGCAACAATGAAATCTCGGTCTGAAAATATCTGAAAAAAATATAATTTAGCTACCAAGCACATGTCGACATTTTTTATTAACTTTTGTGAAATTGAAGAAAGTAGCTTCGTTGATCTTAGCTCCTGGACCCATATACATATCCTTGATTTTTCTGGCTACATTAATACGTTCTTCTAATGGCAGGGTGTAGTTATAGTCCAGGAGATAGTGGGCCACATCTGTCCAAACATTTTCTATTTTTTCAGGTTCTTTACAATAATCTGAAATATCAAACAGAGTGGTGCATATATTCAGAAGCTCAATATCGGTATTTCAACTTCAGAACATTTGAACCAATATATATTTCTCCGATATAATATATCCTCTTTCTTAAACATTTTTATGAGCAAGGTATATCTCTGATTTTCCTCGATTATCTACAGATTGTTTTTTCTGTTAATATTGATTATATTACTTACAACCTGATGGGTAGAGTCCTTCATCCTTCACAATAGAAAATATTAAAGGTATATCCGCCATATGCCCTTCTTTGACCAACTCGTAGGGTAATTTGGAGAGGAACGGGTTCGTCCCATTTTTCTCAACTACCACTGCAAAAGGTGAAAAAGGCATTTGTCCATACCCATAGAATCGTCTATAAACACTCAGTAGAACGTTGGCCGGTCTTGTTTTCAGACACTGTTTCAGTAACTGAGATGGTTCAGTAGGACATCCTGTAACATCTGCAAGTTTTTGGGCAAATTCCTAGAAAAATTATTAATCAGGTAGGTACTTATACCCATCAAACTATCCACGTTTCTGCTCCAACCGAGTTTCTTGTTGAAAATGCAGTAGATTTCATTCAATTTTTCTAACGAGAATCAACTCTCCCGTATGAACTTTTATTTTCATTATTGTATTTGAACAATTTCAAATATCAAGAAAGTACCCGTTCACTTTTAGAAAGCAGCGCTTTTCTGGCCTACAGTCCAGGGAATCGTGTTGTATAAAAATCTTGACATGCACAAACTATGCAGTTGATGATTATTAATCTAGCAACGAGATGACATTTCAACCAATATGACATGGAAATAAACTGATTGACGAATTAAATTTCACCCGATTTTGAAGCCATAGAAAGATGCATCCATTTCAACCTAGACAGGAAATACCGGAAGAAGGACATCGCAATTTTAACCGATAGCCAAGCAGCCATCAAAGCGTTGAGCTCTTCTAACATCAACTCGAAGATGGTATGGGAATGCCTAAGCAAATTGACTGTGCTAGGCAGCAACAATAAAGTGATCCTTCTCTGGATGCCAGGGCATATTGAAGTGGAGGGGAATGAACAAGCAGACACTCTGGCACGACAAGGGGCTTCAACGTCACTGATCGGATCAGAGCCATTGTGCGGCCTTGGAAATTCCTATTTCCAAGGAGAACTTGAAAAAGCGGAAGAAGCCTTGAGAGCCAGACAATGGAGAAGACTTCCAGGACTACGGCAGGCTAGAGATCTCCTTGTAAAATTCAACCGAGAAAGATCTAAGACACTGACAAACCTTAGCAAAGGAAATCTCCAAGCAATAACGGGATTTCTAACGGGGCATTGCAGACTCAAAGAACACCTATGGAAGCTAGGCTCACAGGAGGATGGAACCTGCAGATTCTGTGAGGAAGAACCAGAAACACCCCATCACATACTGATGGAGTGTGACGCTGTACATCACAAAAGATTGAACATACTGGGAACACACCAGCTGACTGTGGAAGAAATACCACAGCTGGACCCCCTCAAAATCCTCAAATTCCTGAAGGAATTGAATCTCGAGGGGCTGCTATCAACAAGAAATCCTTGATATAGGTTGCAGCGCATCTATCACCATCCGAAAACTTATTTTTTTCTCCATTTTTGACCGTGATTTTTCGAAATCTCACCATGATTATCATAAAAACTAGTTCTAGTTTTTCCACTGATAAATAAAAAACAATGATCTTTCATGAACAATCCACGGAGTTATAATGAAATCAAGATGTTGAACATCTTTGAATTGCTCTCCTGTAAAATTGAGAAAACTGAGATGAGCTTCAACGTGTATACGGTTATCTCATTGTGGGGGCTACGTCCAACAGTCTCTTCCTAGTTTTATCAAATTAGTTCAATTTCCTGGAAATAACTTCTCTCGGATTTGTTGTGAATGAAAACGTAAGTACCTATGGTTTGTGCAAAGCTGCCGCACTCCTTGAACTTTCAAAGGGACAGACGGTTTGCAGTGATGTGTCTTTTCAACTGACTTTGCATAAACTTACCAGAGGTTTTTCTTTGATGACCCACGGACTGAAAGCAGACCCGCTCCCGATATGAGCCTTGTGGAACAACCCTCTCGACATGGGCGACAGCGTGTGCAAATGCACACTGGCCCCCCCTGCCGAATACCCGGAAATGGTAATCGAATCCGGATTTCCTCCGAAATATTCGATGTTCTCCTTGACCCATTTCAGAGCCAACACCTGGTCTTTCATCCCGTTGTTCCCAGGGATGGAATCGTCTTCGGTACTCAGGAATCCTGAAATGAGTGGCACGTAATCCATCATCACGTATACAGGGTTGACCTTAACAATGTACAGGGTATCCCACATAACATGGGCCACCCCCTTATCTGGTAAACTATTATATATACAGAAAAAAGTTCAGAATAAAAGTTGTATTACTCCTTATGAAATTTATTTTTCAGATACTTTCATTTATACAGGATGGTCCATATGTCTGTGACTTATCACACATACGTTTTTTCAAATAGAATACCCTATATTTTATCATATTTTTAGATAGTACTTCAGAAGACGAGTTCAATGATATTTAATAACATGGGTCTGAGATCACCCGTTTCGGATTTATACACGATCTTCTTCAATGAATTGCCAAATTTCGAAGCCCTATAGAAACGTTGCGAATGAAGCTTTCGATTCGCAGTTTCCGCTATAAATTAACAAAGTCTGTATATTATTTTGTTGAAAGGTGAAAATTTAGGAATTTTCAATTTGCCAAAAGTGATGATAAATATCTCGAGATTTTCAATTGAAACACCCTATATTCCATTCCAAATTTGAATAGAGCTCAGGAAGACGAGTTCAATGATATATCATAACATGTGTCTGATATCACCCGCTTCGGACTTATACACGATCTTCTTCAACAAATTGCCCAATTTCAAAGCCCTATAGAAACGTTGTGAATGAAGTTTTCGATTCGCAGTTCCCGCTATAAATTAACAAATTTAGTATGTTTTCTTGATCCATGGTGAAAGTTTATGAATTTCGCATTGGCCAAAAGTGATGATGTATTTTGAAAAACGATAATTTTTTACAAACTTTCGAATGAAACACCACCCTATTTCATTCCATCTTTGGATGAAGCTCAGAATGACGAGTTCAATGATGTATTATAATATGGGTCTGAGATCACCCGTTTCGGACTTATACACGATCTTCTTGAAAAAATAATCAAATTTCAATGGCAAAATCCTGACTGTTCATATTAGATAATAATTTTGTAATTTCTGTGAAACAATTCGTAATAAAGAGTTTTGAAAACATAGAATATTATCGAAATTTTTATGTAATGTTATACTATTATTTCACTAGAAAACCTTTTGGATATGATTGAGCACAGGTTATCACAATTAAATTTCACCTACATTTGACTGTATACGAGACCAATGCGGGAATATTCATCAATTAATAAAATGTATTTGAACATTTTTTTTGATTGTCTGCCTTATCAATTCGGATGCATTCATTGTAATAAATATCATTTCTTCATAAAAATCATATATCTTTCATACTACTTTGTATATTCAATTGAATACTATATCTGATTGTTACTGTTGTTATGTTTACTCGTTTTCTCAGTAACTGTTACTTTTTTCGTTTGACTATTCTTTAAAGAAGATCGTGTATAAGTCCGAAACGGGTGATCTCAGACCCATGTTATTATAGATCATTGAACTCGTCTTTCTGAGTTCTATGCAAATATGGAATAAAATATATGGTGTTCCATTTGAAAATCTCGAGATAATTGTTGGTTTTCAAAATACGTCATCACTTTTGGCAAATTGAAAATTCCTAAATTTTCACCTTTCAACAGAATAATATACAGATTTTGTTAATTCATAGCGGAAACTGCGAATCGAAAACTTCATTCGCAACGTTTCTATAGGGCTTCGAAATTTGGCAATTTATTGAAGAAGATCGTGTATAAATCCGAAACGGGTGATCTCAGACCCATGTTATTATATATCATTGAACTCGTCTTCTGAAGTACTATCTAAAAATATGATAAAATATACGGTGTTCCATTTGAAAAAACGTATTTGTGATATGTCACAGACATATGGATCATCCTGTATAAATGACAGTATCTAAAAATTAAATGTCATAAGAAGTTATGAAATTTGTATTCTGAACTTTTTTCTGTATATATAATAGTTTACCAGATAAGGGGGTGGCCCAAGTTATGTGGGATACCCTGTACCGGCATAGGTTAGGTTGTTATATTATTAAAAAAATTATAGAACCTTGCATTTTCAACTTCCATTACTAGTTTTTGTGAATCTCAAAATGGCCTAAACAAATTTTCCATAATTGTTTCCAGATACAGGGCGATTATGTACATATGTATTTTTCGAACACCTATATCCACGAAGTTATCAGAAATGATGTTGATGCGCTGAGCATCTGAATACATAATTTTGCAGTGGCGTACTCAATTTTATTTTTCGGGGTATGATTTCGGAGATACCTACGAAACAAACTTATACAGGGTGAGTCATAAGGAACTGTACATACTCCTACCACGAATAGAGGCCCTTGAGGAGAATACCTGATGACCATCAAGAAGTGTCTTCTTCTCTTCTTCACCAATATATAAGGTGAATCATCAGATCTGGCAAGAACATTGTTTGGTCATAACTTTTCAACAGCTCCTTCGATTTGTCTGATTTTGTCATGGAATATTCCTCTAATAAACCCTAATCGACTGACACTTCCAGAATCGGGAAAATCCAGGGCCGTTTTTGAAAAATTTCGATAGTAGAGCAAATAAAAGTAAGAGTCACATTTTCAATGCTCTAGCCCAATGGAAATCAACGTGTTCTTTCATGTCCAGGCCTGGTTTTTGTCATTTCATTCCTTATGGAGGGTAATAATCACCCTGTAGATGTTTCTCAGATCAGTGGATGGGGTATCTGTTTCGATGTTGATGGTCATCGATTCAAATGATTCGAGATAGTCGAACACAAAATAAAGGTTTATTTACAATTATTTTTCAAAAGCTATACTTCATGAAGGTCTCGCAATTTTTTCAAGTCAGTTTTTCTCGTAAAATTACTGATCGGCAAATGTTTTTCGTTACCAAGAGAAATTTATCCGATGGAAAGAAGCTCTTGTATTTTTACTATTGATAAAATCTGAAAATGATCGATGTGAAATTTGAAGTTTTTAACTGGTAGTAAAATACCTGGTACCACCTGTGTTGTAGTCATCTTTTTGTAGGCATCTTTATCGTTGCTATGGAAACCTCTTGAAGTACTCGATTATCCGTCACTGTCCATTTAAAAAATTGCATTAGTGGTTGTTTAGGAATTCATTACGTAGTCTATGGTACTGCGAAGTGGAATGGAAGATAAAAGAGTTCTTTCTCGGAGACGGTGCTATTGGCTTATTTTTCGGAACTGATACAACAAAAGCCATATCAACAATGCACCTATATATCCGGGGAAAAAAATACTCTCTTTCTTCCCGTGCAAAAAAAGTTATTTATGAAAAGTGACAATTTGTAACCAGACAATAGAGATGAAATGTCGAACTTTTTCCCGTCACAGAAAAAAAAGTTATTGTGTCGTATCTCCAAAACCAGACCCTGAAGAAAAAATCAAGGACGCCACTGGATTCTGTGCAAAACTCTCTATTAGACATAGTTCTTAGCGCAACATTATTTCTATAATAACTTCGTAGCTACAGAAGAGTACCACAATAAAATAGGACAGGAATGTCAAAAACGGCAAGGCTCTATCATCAAAAACAACCGAAAAACCTGGCAGCATCAACAAAAAAGGGATGCACTGTATAAAAGTATGCTAGATTTTTGACTCCAAAATATTACGTTTTGTGCCAACGAGCCGTGAGAATATATTGCTGTGTTGAAGTTAAAATTGTAAAATTCATTTTTCGAATACACTTTTTTCCATTGGATATGATGACAATTTTTTTCGCATATGTTAATTTACATCCTATGTATATCTGTTGATAGGGTGGATGCGTTTCGAACACCCCAAACTTACCAAACAGGCCCACCCTGTAGTTTATCGCGACAAAAATCATTTCATCCATGGTGTCCATGATGTACGGGGGGTTGTTGATGAGACTGGCGCTTCCTATCATAAATGCACCCCCATGAATGTCTACGAAGACATCGTATTTTCTGGTCCTGTTGATTTTTTCACCTGGGACGAAGATGTTCAGGTACAAACAATCTTCCTTTCCTGAAAACGAAAACAAAAAAAAACATACCTATAACAAACCACCATACCACTACCCAAAGCGATATTATACGCCTCGAAACGTGTTTCGCTAACTACAAAGCTAAACTAGTTAATAACATTTACTTCAATAATGGGGAAGTTTCCTTCAGATGAATTTTCATGAAATGAGTTCGGAACTCTCCAATTTTATGTCCAAGTCGTTTTCATTTTCAAATTAAAGCAATTTCTAATTTTCTAGTCCGAAAATAGCTGATGTTGAAGAATATAGCTAAATAGCTAACGAATGAAAAAGGAATTAAAAAAATAGAAGAAGAAGTAAAACTGGTGAACAAAAGCATACATAACCACAAATGCACTCGGAGCAGGAATTCAGAGGGTAGTTGGCTTCATTCTGACAGAACAGAATGAAGCCGACACCCATGGCTCCTTCCTCTTGTGCCTGTCAGTATTTTGAGTGGTGTGGACAGACTCGAAGTATTAGGCGCTGTTGCAAGATATAATCTGCATCTTTCCTATTTATTAAGGAACGAATTCATTAGTAAAAATTTACTGACAAGTTATGAATAACCAGAATAACATACTGTAATATAACGATAGTTAAAAATTACAGATACTATCGCAAAATATCATAATTTATCTTTATTAGTAGTCAACTTCATTCAGCCAATGAGAGATTTATGGGAATTATTTTTCATAATACTTGACAAAGTAGGATCGTGATCGAAGAACCTATTATATCCAATTGCTGTTATGATATAGTTATTATGCATTCAAAGAACAATTTCCAGAAATCTAGACATATTGATGATATCGGCAACGTCGTACTGGCACAGGGAATCGTATTTTAACTCTGATGTGTGAATGTGCATTTTCAGAAAGTAAGTCAAAGAAATGGTGGAGGAGCCAAGTTCCTCTTTTATTTATTTTTTTCTGAAGTGAAATTTGATTTTACGAAAAAAAAAAAAGAAACAATACGTATGTATTAATTTTTTACGAACTTCACAGTGAGATAAGAATCTCAATATAGAAAACTTCCCCATTTGCTAAAAATGGCTACTGCCTACTCCAATAAATTATTTTTTTTTATCTGAAATCTGTCAACTAAGAACAACCCTTTGAAGTTTGTATAAGTACTTAATAAACACCCTATATGAACGCCTTTTGGAGGTTGGCAGTTGAAAAATGGAACATTCTGTACCTATCTATACATAAGTTGAAATTTGTTTTTCGATTTTCATGGGTTTCTGTTAATTTTCTCGATATACCTGTGATATTTCCTGTAAAGATGATTGAGGTTACATCTATCTGAGCACACTGATGTGAAATGATTGCAGGCCAGGTACCATCCCATGGTCCCATAGGAACAGATTCCTGAAAAAACAAGAATCAACAGGAATAATATTTGATTATTGTTCCTTGGCAATTTTTTTACCTCGAATCTTAGATTTGAAATAGGTGGCTTCGCATAAGGTATTCCTTGAAAAGCACTGTATCTTCTTCCTTCGAGGGAATATTCCCACGTACCTTTAATTTTCCCAAAGGGAACAGTCACTTCTGGCCCTTCCCATGATAAGACTGAAAATTATGAAACGCGATCAAATCAGCTGGTTGCATGAAACATGTCCTTCAGAATGATAATTAATACCAGCAGACCTCGCATACGTTGTTTTGCTTTATACATTATTTTCTACTTCTTTTTAGTTTCGCTATCTATAAAAGCTTGTTTCTTTAGTTTTTCAAACTACCATTTATTCCAACTTCTTTTTAGTTCACTTGAATTTCACAATTTTGACGAAAGAATCATAATATCCGAGTCCTCTAAAACCCTACATGAAAATTTTGAATAGAATCGGAACATTATTACAAAACTCGTCTGCTATATTGGTTCCACACCCCAGATAACAATTTTCAAGAGGGTCTCATAATCACATTACTCGTCCGCCATATTGGGTCCGCCATCTTGAATTTCCTAATTTTGACGAAAGAATCATAATCTCCGACCCCGAAAACCACCAGATACCAAATTTGAATGAAATCGGATCCTAATTACAAAATCCGCCATTTTGGATCCACAATCATGACGAAGGAAGCATTTCCAGACACATGTTGATGGAAACATTTTTTTCTCATTTTCATCTGCAGAATAATCACCCGGAGTATACGAACGTTATTCTGGGACACCCTGTATAGTCTTTGTTTTTCGACACCTCAGTATATTTTTATTTCTAGAGGCAGAGATTATACACTTTAATCTCTGCTAGAGGCGAGAAGAGGAAATTCCAAATAGTATTGACTAAAATTAGTATAATTAGACAAGGATGTACAGGGCTAGTTTTATTAATGTGAACCCCTCTTAATCTTTTTGTTTTCCGCCCAAAAAAAAAAAAATATGGAGATTTCACACGATTATTTTTCAAATAGGTTCCAATCATAGTGACAGTGTTGCATTATCTCTTCATATATACAGGGAATTCAGAAAATATATATACTTTTTAAATGAAATGCTCTGTATATTTTGATAGATATGAATCCCTTATATTATATATATGAAATCAGGATGAATTGAGGAATCCAAATCTCTCGAAATATACAGAGCATTCCATTTGAAAAAAATATATTTTTCTCTATACCCTGTATATTTGAAGAGATATTGTATCATTGTCAATTCAAGTGAAATCTGTATGAAAAATTGTATAAAATCAGCTTTAATTCTTTTTGAATGAGTGAAACAAAAAAATAAAAGGGGGTTCACACTAATAAAACTATAGCCCTGTACCTAGTACCTCTATAGAAAACCCATTTATAGACAAGGATTCATTTTGAAAAGTGTATAGGTTAGTAAGTACATGAGAAACTTTGGTTGCTCCAGCCTCCAGCTCAATATTCATCATCACTGCGTGTACCTATATATTATATTCTTCCTCCATCCAAACATTGCTCTTCATATACAGTATGATGCAAATGTATGGAATACATTCATTATTTCAGAAATCGGCGATATTTTAAAAAATTCCAAAAACATGTGAGGTTCCATTTTTGAAGCCTCATCTCATGATATCCATATGAGAGATGTTACGTCACCTGTGTTGGAGTCATGACGTAATGAACGATTTTTTCAAATGAAAACAGGGGTCACGTGACACCTCGTTGGAAAGGTCTACTGATCGTCTATTCAACAGTCAAAATTTTGCATGAGAAAATTGAAATTAAAATGGATTATCATATCATTTGATTAACTGAATCTTGCAGAGGTCTGCTACGAGAATTGAACAACGAAGGGTCGTCTATTTAAAGAAATACATCAATTAATAAAGTTCTGAAGTCTAGATTTTGGATTTTTTTCGGAAGTTGTCTTGTTATATATATAATATATATATATACTATAGAATGAGTGACATTCCACGAAGTTTTATTTTTTAGAGACAAGATCAACATACCCCTACTGAAATGAATCACGAATATGAGACACACTAGCTTCTCCATAATCTACAGAACTTATAAAGAACTATTGCATTCAGACACTTTTTCTTACTATCATTTTTATTTATATAAAATGAGAATCAATAATAATTATTGATACAGTTCACTGTACAGTTGATATATAAATGATAAAGATATCATGCATGAAACATAAAGCAAAAATACCAGTAATTAAAACAGACATATCAAAAATGACGATTGTTGTTTACAATTTCAGTCAGGGGCGGATTCAGGACTCATCAAATACGATTGTGGGCTATATACTACTTCATTATTTTTTCAAATTTCAACTGTACCGTCAGCGACTGTCAATTTTTTTTTAAATTTCACCAAAGCATGTTTTTTCATTGTTGGTTTTTATGAAACACTGACATTCATTTCAATGACATTCACTGCCACATTGGATGATTTATCTCAAATTATCACTAAAAAATTTGAATCAAACATAATAACATGGTGCCATTTGGAAACAACGAAAGTTGACAGTCGCTCTGACGTTACAGAAATCTCTGCTATACTTCCTCCACTAGCAATACCAGTCCGACAAACTCGACAGGCCCAGTCAGCACATCCTTGTGTCGATAACCTTGAAATATGTCAAACAACAATTAACCAAAACTCATTCTTCTATAGAACGGCGGAGCTTTGGATTTCTTTGCCAATGGAAGCATTCCCATCAAGAACATAATAGGAGTTTTTTTTCGTGCACTCCAAGAAATAGAAAAAAATTTAAAAATAATTATCAGAGCCTATACGTTTAGTATCTGTGGAGCATTTCTTTTGCTATTTTGTTTTCCCAGAATCGAACAATTACTAGCAGCGCTATGGCTTCAGGCGTCTTTTATCAGTCATCCTGTTTGTATAAGAATATCTTCAATGAAAAATATATTGGATAAACAAAGGAAATTAATAAAATCTCAAAAATATTATTATGATCTATATCTAATGTGAGTCACGGTTGCTATATACAGGGTGTATGTTAATAACACCCAAAAAAATTCAAGGGGTGCTTCGTTGTGTCATTTTAGCAAATAAAGTGTACATGAACATGTGTCCTAACTTGCTCCGTTTTTAAGATACAAGATGTTGATTTTTGATTATAACCCCCCTGTATAAGCTTTCATGGTGCCAAAATTCAGTATGGATGGAGACTGAGGAAGCCCCAGAATTTCAATATGATCCTGGAAGTTTTGAGAACACCTACATCGAAATTTGGAGTCAAATCGAATTTTTATTGTTTCCTGAAAAACTAAGCTAGATTTGAAAATCGCACATAGGATTAAAAAGTTGTTATTTCAATAGTTTAATCTAATCAAAATATGAAACTCAGAAAAACCGGTGGTGTACAAAGCCATTCACCATGAATATCGATGAATTTACCCCCTGTGACGCCACTGGCTGGTAATATCATTTCGAATCTAATTGCACTAGCTCCATACTACTATTGACAAAACCACAACGTTTAATTGAAATTGACGAAAAGAAAATTGAGAAATGAACAAGAAAAAGATTTTTCATGGAAATATCGATACCCTGTATCTCGAAAACGAAGTTAGGATTTTATCGGTGGTACCGGTTAGGACACATTCATTTACAAAAATATCACAAGGAATCACACCTTGAATTTTTTCGATGTTATTTAGATACCCTGTATTTGAACATACAGTGGTTTTGTTTGGTATTCAGGATACCTACATGAAGTTCGCCAAGGGGAGGGGGGAGGTATGACTCCATGTCCCCCCCCTGGGTCCGCCCCTGATTTCAGTTGATTGATACATTTTTTATAAGTACAAACAGCTACACAGTGCAGTTTTGTAGTGATTCTACAGATTTTCAAAGACTAGTCATCAGGTTGGCCCAACCACTCTGAATATAGAATTCATCAATTTATGAGTTTCCAATCCAATTTTTATATCACTTTCCCATAAGCATTCTCAATTCGGAAACACATCTTTCTCATTTTCGGCGAGATTCAATCCTCTCCAAAAATCGATTTTACTCAGAGATGTAATATTTTGTATTTTCATATCGTTCGGTCCAGTAATATTTAAATAAGTCAGCTGATTACTCGATGAGGTGGGACACCATGTAACATTGGAGTTGAACGAAGGCACCCTGAAATCAAATTGATAGGTATTCATAATATAGTAAAGTACGTATAACAAGTCCAGACAATTCTTTCATTGGCCAAAAAATAGTAATTTTCATAACAAGTGCGGAAAGTGATATTTTCCAGCACGCGAATGCCGTTGATCCGAACGACGCGAAGCTGAGTTTTTACTTCATTTTCATCCTCAAGAGTTGTCTATATATATATGTCAAATAAAATAAACAGAAACTAAAAAACAAATAATAATGACCACCATCAATACCATACAAGAAACGGCACTAATCTACTTACCACTGCCCACAGAACAACAACAACAAGTAGCAAGTATTATAAACGTCGTTTTAGTAACGAGTAGTTTAAGCACGAGCGGAGCAGAGCGGAGCGAGTGTTTAATAAACGAGTGTCTAGAAGAGTTTATAAACGCGTTACAAACTATGATTTTTCTACGAACTCCGAAAATTACATTAACATACCTGCAATTCCTGCTAACCTACAACATAATTCGAAAGGAATGGGAATTGAGAACATAATACATGCAACTGCATGCATCCAGCGAGACGTGATATTGGTTGCAGATGTGTCCAGTCCATTGCTTACTAACCTTTGTTTCACGTTTATTGTCATGCTTAGCGCAGAATAAATAAATTGTTCTCAAAGATGGATGCTTCATTTTTACACTTCTTCGAGATATGCAAGTACCAGAACATTCTTTTCGATTCCACTTTCGTCTACTTTTCGCATATATTTTTAATGAAGAATTCTGATACGAACGAATAAAGCGAATATTGTTTGAATAATTCTGATACAAAATTCGAGAATAACAGTTGACAGTTGATACAATTGACAGGCCAGACATGTCTCGAATTACTGAAGCTGTGTTCAATGAACTGCGTTGCCATGGTAATGTGTTCAAGAAATCGTGTTGCCATGGTAACGTGTTTAATATTCTGATCCGTGATTAATCGATCATTTAGCGTGGTACATATCCGTACGCTAAATGCCATTTTAGTTATGTGAGTAGAAAAATTTTCATAAATACATATATTAATATATTATACACAACTGTTGACATGTCCTATACCATATAGTTGGTCACGAATTAATGAATATTATCTATCTTATCTTATCTTATCTAATCTTATTTTACTCCTTACCCTGTTTTCGCAAAAGACGATTGCATCTGATGGCACCATTCCTTCATCTCCCTGTCACTCTCGGACATATATTGTGTATAATTGAAGCCTATGCAAATCAATTCATCTGCTGCATGTGCTATACCTATAAAAAGTAGAATATTCGCTATTTATACATGTTATCCCATAAGTCATGAATCGAAACGCATTTCCATTCGACTAACCGTATAATTGTTGATGATGAAAGTTATTAATTTTTTTGCTGCCATTTGAAACATTTTGTCTCCAAATATTATGAAACCAATTTTGTGTAATTTCTTATTTAAAACTTCATCATTTTGTGTTCACTGAAGGTCAGTGTCAATTTGGATTACCAATTTCATTCAAATTACTTGGAACGGTGCATAGCAACAAACTTTTTAGCCTAGGCAGAGAATTTACATCTTTGCTGCCTGTTAAGTGTCATAAAATAGCCTCTTTCTATACCGTTTGGAGATAAATAAGTTTTATGACCTGTGTTAGTTCGTATATATATCATTCAATTGATATTTTAATGCCCCTGGCAGGTTTAAAAAATACCCCACAAAGATGACCAACTATCAGAAAAAGTTGTTCATTTAATACAAAATAGTATAACATATGGGGTAATTCGAAAACCGTCTTTTTGTTATCATTTTTTATCAAATGGGTCGATTTATCTTGAAAATTCATTTTTGCTGTTTTTACTTAGTAATTTGTGAATATCACAATTGCTGGAAAAATCAACCATGTGTCTTACTGTTCAATCAGATTTATCGAATAAAATTTCGGTTGAGTTTCTGAATCTCTATCGCTGATAAGCTGTTTCTGTCTTAAGTTCCGAAAAAGATAGATGTGAACTGTCACCACAGACATTTTCAACATTAATAATTGTTAAAGTTAATAATACAATTCTTGTTGGCTGAAGTTTTGACTTGAAATTTCAATGTTATTATTTGTTTAGTAAACAAACTTCATGGTTTTAGGGAGAAATATAAAAAATTTAATAACTTCTGAACCATCAACATTTGGATACCCGACGAAAAGCGTTTTCGCATTTTGAATCATTCAAACCATTTTTATTCGATTTCATTTACCTCCAATGTCTCCTTTTTCACAGAAAAGTGATGAAGAACTCATATTAGTGCTTTGGTAGTTGAAATAATAAAAATAAACTGGTGAATTCGAAGCTACAGAATGCATCTTTGCAGCTGCTTCAGTTGAAGCTACAAAAATTCTTTCGGTGAATATCTGAAAAATAATATTCAATTTAGTTACTCTTAGCAGAAAAATTGAGAATACAACTTTTGTAAAATTGAAGAAGGTAGTTTCGTTGATTTTAGCATCTGGTCCCATATAGAGGTCTTTGATTTGTTTGGCTACATCTAAACGTTGCTCTAATGGTAAGGTGTAGTTATAATCCAAGAGATAGTGGGCCTCATCTGTCCAAATATTTTCTATTTCTTCAGGATTCTTACAAAAGTCTGAAATAATATGAAGAGCAAGTCAAAACAGTAAATTCATCATGAAATTATTATTTATAAAATAAAAAATAGTATGACAAGAAACGCATATTCAATATTTTGTCATAAAGAAGAAAACGTTGGGGATAATGAACAATTCCTATGAATAGGGATATATTTGATTGAACATAGGTCGAAAAATGGAAGTCCCGCCTGAAGATGAAGTGGAGGAATTTAATATATTTTGCATTTCACTTTTGGAGCTGAATTAGAGAATAAATTCGGAATTTTAAATCAGGAGTGTATTCGACAGAGTATCTTAGTGTACTTCTGACTCCCTCTCTTTGTTGATAGCGAATATTTCAACATTTTTTTTGCAGAAATTGAGAATTTTTTCGATATACAGTCTGTCCAAGATAAAGTTGAACAGCATGGGGATCTCGAAAACGGTAGGAGATACGAAGTCGGTTAAGTGGGTAAGTAGTTGCGCATTCGGAGGCTCATATCAAGAGCCTTCGGAAATTTTTAAAATTATTTTCAGTTTTTGAGTTATATCAAAAAAGTGAATTTTTGGAATATCTATTTTATTTTTTTTTTCTCCGTTATTATCAGAGATACAGCAAAACTGAAATTTATTTTTCATACCAACTTTTGATGACGTTTAACGAGGTGATATCGATTTTCTCATGCGACGTTTCTTATTTGTAGAACCATCATTAACTTTTGTTTTCTCAAATACGGTCCTGATGAAAGTTTTTCTTATTCTGAATTCAACCATGTATTATACAAGGTGGTTTTGGTGTGTTTCGACCTATTTTTAGTCATCATCAACGTTTTTTGGAAATTCCAAAGGAAAAATGCCATCAGTTCCATTTATTTTGAAGGAAAATTAGTCAACACGGAAACAAAGCGGAAACAAAAATTCCATCCATACAAATTCAAAATAATCATGCCAAGCGCTAAAACCAGGCGATGACGAAAGGCGCAAGACATTCTGTGAGTGGTATACCAGGAAATGTCAAAATTTTGCAGATTTTTCTTGAACAATCATCTGGACTGATGGAAGCATGGTAACTAATCATGCTATCTCCGATAGAAAAAATACACAGTATTGTTCACGAGAAAATGAACAATTATACATTAAAGAGAGACACCAACACCGTTTCGGCTTTGGGTCGCAATATTTGGTACACGAATTATTGGTACTTTTATTTACCATGAAACACATACTACCGAACGTTATAGAAATTTGCTTGAGAATCATCTTGAGGAAGCTCTGGATGATTTACCGATTGCGGAAGTTCAGAACTGTTGGTTTCAACAAGATCCGGTACATAATTCCAGAGAAGTCCGTGCGTGTTTATCCAGGAAAATGGATTGATACTCATTCTACAGTCCCTAGGCCGGCGCGGTCGCCTGATTTGACACAGCTGGATTTCTTCTTAGGGGATATATCAAAAGCTTTGTATACGCAAATAACTCTGATGATGAAGTAGAACTATGGGACAGTGTCATCGAAGCATTCAATAAAATAACCCCAGAAATGCTTAGTAATGTCTTAAAAGCAACTGTGAGAAGAGGATATCTTTGTTCAGAAAATAATGTTTATCATTTTGAACATTTGTTATGAATGTTTCTGTAGGTATTGTCAAAGTTAAGTTGGTAAAGTAATTCGTGTGAGAATTCATCAACAATTTTAAGCGCTGCATTGAATGATGTAGTGAAATATTTTTGATTCACTTCTCAGTATTGAATAACTAATCCATCAATGTTTGACACTAAATGATCAGAAATAAGTGGAACTGATGGAACGTTTCCTTTGGAAGTTCGAAAAAATAGCGATGATGGATAGAAATAGGTCGAAACACATTCGAATCACCTTGCATAATACATGATTGAATTCAGAATAAAAAAACCTTTCATAATCTGTAGAAAAATTATCAGGACCGTATTCAAAAAACAAAAGTTGATGATGATTCTACGGATACGAAACGTCGCATGAAAAAATCGGTATCGCCACGTTGAACGTCATCAAAAGTTGCTGGAAAAAAGTAATTCCAGTTCTCCTGTATCTCTAATAATAACGGAGAAAAAAACTCAAAAACTAGAAATAATTTTGAAAATTTTCGAAGGCTCTTGATATGAGTCTCCGAATGCGCAACTTTTTCCACATTCAAACGACTTCGTATCTCCTACTGTTTCCGAGATCCCCATGCTGTTCAACCTTATCTTGGACAGACTGTATAGCTCAGTTCTGCAGACTCAGATCAATTTGAAAAAAAAATATGAGAAAATCTCCAGATTTCAGTAGTGATGAATACCATGTTCTATCTATATCAACTGAACAGGAAGCAATGCTATTGTCTCCGTTCAGAAGAATGCAAGCATATTCCTTCATTTTTCTCTTCTGGTTGTTATGAAAATGAAAATGGTAAATTCAAGATCATATAATGAAAACATCCTGTAACTCATTTGATTGCCATCGTCACCAATTGTCACTGAGAACTAAAGTGTCAGGACAAATACGAATTTGCAATACAAAAAATGCATTTTTATGTTGAAAACGGGAGCAGATTTGTTCCCGAAACGAATTTTTCTTTCAGGCTCTCTGATAGGAAAATTCTTTAAACAAAGCGACATTTTGGGCCAAATCTTCTGATTTGTCCTTACCACACATATTATATTGAAATAGTACTCATATTTTTATTTCATAGAGGCGAGGAGAGAAAATCCCAAAAAAATCTGGAATATTGAATGTACCATCTCCTCGATTAACCTACAGACAGTATTTAACTATTCTAATATCAATTTTCATACTTACAACCTGATGGAAACAGCCCATCATCCCTCACAACAGAGAATATCATTGGTACGTCCGTTATATTCCCTTCTACGATCAGTTCGTAGGGTAGTTTGGGCAAAAACGGGTTCGTCCCATTTTTCTCAATAACCACTGCAAAAGGCGAGAAGGGCAGTAGATCATATCCGTATAATTGGTCGTAAATAATACTCTGTAATAGGTCGGACGGTCGTGTTTTCAGACACTCTTTCAGTGCCTGAGAAGGTTCACTCGGACATCCTGTGGCTACTGCGAGTTTCTTGGCTACTTCCTGAAAATATTGTTTTGAACACAACTAGGAAAAGCCTATTTAAAGTGGAATGCAATGGTCACAAAGAGAGAGAAACTCAAAGTCATTACCACAAAAGTTCTCACAATCGATTATAATTACTGTACGAACCGAAGGCGAGTGCTGTAATCATTCGAGTGGCGGAGTAATAGCCATTATGCGCGAGTAGAATACTATACTTTAATCTACAACTATCCAAATACCAAAGCAAATTAAAGACTTCATAAATGAGTCATTGCAAATAATACCTATAGGTCGTTTTGTATTGCATCATTGCTTAATACAGGATGTCTCATGACTCGATCACGGATTATATATAAAACACAAACAAGAGATGAGCTAATTCACAATATTATGACTACAGCTGCATCCATAAGAGACGTACCAGATACTTTTCAGAGAGCAACGCTTTCAATAATTAGACGAGCAAGAATGTGTTGTGACGCAACAGGGGGGAGGGGGACATTTTGACCGAAACATTAATTAAATTTGTGTAAGTTATCAAGAAATATTAAATTGATAAAATATTACATTACTTTATTCAACATTCTCTTCGTCACTTTTTCGAACAAAAAAAATTATCACCCTGTAAGAAGGGTTCACTAGTTACTGCGGGCTATATAAGTGAGTGAGATGACTCATTCTGGTAAACGAGTATTCTTTAAGAAACGCCTCTATTATTCATCGTTGAAAAAACCGCAAAATGTCATTAGGCAATACGTTTCATTCTGGTTCTACACGTACGTTACCTCTTCACGTTGATTCATCATAACTAAGACGTTGCACACGCAATGTGAATCCAACGGATTAAACACGTATTTTCAGAACGTTCAATAAACGTTAAAATAGTTGTAATTGAAACGTGGTATATAGGTTGCTCGAAGATATAGTTGTTATTCAATAATTTATTCAACGTTTAATGAACGTAAAGGAAAAAGTGGATGAAACGTGGAATAAATGTTCCTCAAAGATAGAGTTGCTATTGAATAATTTATTCAACGGATCATACACGTAATTTTAAAATGTTCGATGAACGCAAAAAAGTATCTATTGATTTGGAACTGGAACATTATAGGTTGATCAAAGATACAGTTGATTCATTGAACGAATCATTCACGTAATTTCATAACGTTCAATAAACGTGTAAAAAATAGTGATTGAAACGGGGAATAAAGGTTGCTCAAAGATATAGTTGCTATAGAAAAATTATTCAACGGGTCATTCACGTAATCTCAAAACCTTTTATTAAACGTAACTGAAAAGTGAAACATTGGTAGCATAAAAATATAGTTGTTATTGAATAATTAATTCAACAGATTTTTTACGTGGTTTTAAAACGTTGAATAAACGTGAAAAAGAGGTTGCTCGAAGATTCAGGTTGCTGAACAATATCATACTCGACGTTATTGTGATGTTCTTTGTACCTCATTGAATATACCTTGAGGAAGCACGATAATGACACGTGCCGTAATGGTGGCTATATAGACGAGTTGAATCAACGTTTGGTTGAATTTGCGTTCCAGAAGTAACGTTGCGAAATTCAACGAGTAACGTTTAATCAACGTCCACTACTATATGTATATAAACGTATCTTACACGTGTGTGTGTTTATTGGGATACTTCCTGATGAACTAGACCAGAAAAGTGCTACTATCCCGAAGGGACTTTTCGTGTGAAAGAAACGTACCAGGGGTTTTTCTCTGATGACCCAAGGACTGAGAGCAGTACCGCTTCCGACGTGGGCCTTGTGGAACAACCCTCTTGACAGTGGTGACAGCGTGTGCAAATGCACACTGGCACCACCTGCCGAATACCCCGAAATGGTGACCGAATTGGGATTCCCCCCAAAGTATCCGATGTACTTTTTGACCCATTTCAAGGCCAACACCTGGTCTTTCATACCGTTATTTCCTGGGATGGAATCGTCTTCGGTACTCAGGAATCCTATAAAAAAGTGTGAGGAAACCAAATCATCAATCTGAAAGAATATTGATGATGAGTTTCTAACCAACATTTATACCGGATGTCCCAGATCTTATCATACAGCCGATATCTCAGTTATCCTGCTTGAAAAATGAATAATCAAAGAAATACTCTTTTATAGACAGCCAAACTGAAAAGTAGAAAATAAAATGACGAAAGTGTGTTGATAAATACACAACATAGAAAATATTAGCACCTCAATAATCAGTACATTGTATGTTGTGTATTTATCAGCACACTTCTATTATTCTATTTCCTACTTTGTAGTTTGCCTATCTATAAAAGGGTGTTATTTCTTAATTTTTTCAAACAACTATTTATGTTCTATATTTTCGTTCGACTAACTACAAGAGGTTTTTTTCGTGTTTATATATTTTTTGTAAGTACCCAATTTTGGCAAAATCATCATAATCTCCGACCCCGAAAACCTCCAAATACTGATTTTTTATAGAATAGGATCATATAATCACAAAACTCGTCCACCATATTGGATACGCCATCTTGAATTTTTCAATTTTGACGAAAGAATCGTGAACTTCAAGGTGTTAAATCCCAGATATCAATTTTAACTACAATAGGATTATAATTACGAATACGTCCGCCATATTGGATTTGCCATCTTGAATTTTCAAATTTTATCGAAAGAATCATAATCTTTGACCCCAAAAACCACCAGACACAAATTTTTAATAGATTCGGATTATAATTTCAAAACTCGTCCGCCATATTGGATTCGTCATCTTGAATTTACTAGTTTTGACGAAGGAATCATAATCTCCGACTTCGAAAACCCCCAGATACCATTGAATCGAATCGGATTTATGCTTCTATCATTTTTATTAAATCCCCAATTCTTGTTGGATATCTGTGCTGTTGACCATTAGTTGATATTGAAGCTTCATTTTTCTTTATAAAAGTTACTAAGCTGTGGGTTTTGTTGTCTTTGAAATAAGCTTTCTGTCAATTGAATGTCACTCAAATTATAAAATGTGATACATCGTTGAAGTTCGAATTGATTGCAATTCACATATCAACAAAAAAATGTATAGGGTGAAAAAATGAAGTTGGGTGTTGTTTTCAGGGAAAGTTTGACAGAAGTTGACTTTGACACATTTGGGCTCAACAAAAGTGTACTCATTTTTCAATATTTTTTCAAGATGTTTAACTGAAATATTGGCTGCATGTATGGAAAGATCGGGCACACCCGGAATAAAGCAGAAAAACGCAGTTCACACAAGTTTCATTGATTCATATTATTATCAAAATGATTTTTCCTACGACTATAACACAAAATTGACCTTGTTTTACTGTATTTGATGAATCGATGAGGTACTTTGTATGTCATCAATTTCATTTCCTTATCTGCTATCACAATGTCTTCATTGTGTTATTATTTCACATAATCTCATCTGCCATGAAATGTCAAATTTCAAGCAATGACAGCTCTGTCAAGAGATGTTAATTTTTCACTCTTCATTATCATGAGAAATGACTATCATTCCGTGCTCCAAGGTGTATATTACATTTGATACATACAATCCTTAAAGTTCTGTGAAACTGAAATATGGACCTTTTGTCACTATGAAAGCATTTCCCTTTGATTCTAATAAAATCTATTAGCCATGACCATGACAGCATAATGGCAAGTTGTAATTGATAATACCTACTATAAATTCAAGTTTCAAGTGTCCTTTCTCCAAATCTCGCATGAGAACAGTGAAATCGGGTTTATTATTAAACGTGGGGCTATGTCTTTAATTAATTGAGTCTTTATTGACCTATAGTAGTTCATAAAATGAATAAACTACCTTGGTAGAAAAAACTCACATTACGCCTTGGAAAGGAGCATATAAATAATGGTAGGTTCTTATAGCTAGTGCTGGATAAAAGTCGATATACAGTGTCATTCATAAAGTCGGCTTCATATGGGAAAAACTCGTATTAATGACTTATTTTGAAATTCGAGTTGGACGTTAAGTTTTGCTTCAAACAAGATGAAAAATTGCCTTCTCAATCGGGGTCACGTGACTTTCGCAACATGTCAAAAGTGACATTTTTTCAAATTAATCGTCGAAAGTAGGTTTATTTGTTCGAATATCGAAAAAGTTCACTTGAAAAAGTTGTTGCTATTCAAATTTCACATATGTGACTAGAATTTTATCTTTTTATGAAATTTTTTAGATTTCGATATTTTTTTAAAATTTTCGAAATTTCTGTTATATTGAAAAAATTGTAAATTCGATAAAACTTCTTCATACCAGTAGCTTCATCATGATACTCACTTCCAATTACAAATTATCACTAATTATTGACAAAAATGTGATTTTTTTTCAGAAAATGATAATCTCCGCTTTAAAATTCTGTTATGTTTGAGTAAAGCATTCAGAAACGAAATTCATTTGAATTTATTTTGTCAGTACTGAAGAGATCAGTTTAAATGAATATCGTTTCTAAATGCTTGACGATATATCAACTTTGCATCAAACATAACGGAATTTGGAAGCGGGTATTATCATTTTCTGGAGAAAATCATATTTTTGTCCATAATCAGTGATAATGAGTAATTGAAAGTAACTAGCATGAAAAAGCTACTGGTATGAAGTAGTTTCGTGGAATTAACAATTCTTCAAATATTACAAAAATTTCGAAAAATTAAAAAAGAAATCTAAATCTAAAAGTTGCAATAGGAAGATCGAATTCGAGAGGCATGTGTAAAATTGAAATAGAAACAACTTTTTCAAGTAAACTTTTTCGATATTCAAACAAATAAGTCTACTTTCAGCGATTTATTTGAAAGAATGTCACTTTTGACATGTAGCGAAAGTCACGTGACCCCGATTGAGTAGGCCGTTTTCTATCTTTTTTGAAGCAAAACTTAACGTCCAACTCGAATTCCGAAATAATTCATTAATAGAAGTTTTTCCCATATGATGCCGACTTCATGAATTAGAATTACACTGTATAAGTTATATACTTACCGAAAACGTTCAACCTGTAGTTTATCGATACTAAGATCATGTCATCCATGGTGTCCATTATGTAGGGGGGGTTGTTGACAAGTGTGGGGCTCCCCATCATGAACGCACCCCCGTGGATGTCCACGAGGACATCGTAGTTTCTAGAAATGTTGATATTTTCACCAGGAATGTAAACGTTCAGGTACAAACAATCCTCGTTTCCTTTAAGAAAAAAACCATAAGTAGAACAATTCCAAGCAACACTCAACTTGAAATGTAATGAAAAATTTTATTTTGCTGCCTGATACATCAACAACATTGGTACTGTATGAGTTATTTAGACTCCCTAAACTGAGAAAACATTGATTTAACACCTTGACTGCCGCAGCAAAAAAAAAACGTTTATTGTCCAAACAGGTGAGACACCCAATTACAGGACATGCAAGACAAATACATTTTATATTCATGCATTCATTTTGGTACATTTCACACATAACTTTTATGTTTGAAAACTGAAGGATATATTGCTTAGGTAATTTTTAAAACAGACTAATTTTGTTGAATGAAGATCGATTTTGTCGCAGACATTATTGAAATTGCTACACATTGTATAAACAGGAAATTTTGCCAGAGTGTTTGTTCTTGGTGTTCTAAGATAAAAACATAATTCGTATCTGTTGCTCATGCGAGGTACAAAAAAATTGAGCTGAAACAGAAGATCTGGGCAGTCGACAAGATAATGTGTGAGCTTATAAATGAGTAAGCACGAGTAATAATATAGAGTTATCTATATACCCTGCTCAGGATACCCCATCGATAATTTACACGTTCGAAATGTCAGTTTACATTCTCGAAAATAAACAAAAATTCATCATCAATGAGGAAATTCACAAAATGAACACTCGTCAAGAACATGACTTTCACGTTCCTTATCGAAAATATAAAATCTCAAAAGATATGCCATCTGTGATGGGACTCGCAATTTTCAATAAATTATTGAAGAGTATAGCACTGAAAACAAATTTTAATCAATTTTCTCGATTGCTGAAAATATATTTATTGGATGTTACTACAACCTTGATGAATTCTTCGACTCATAGATAGGTTTTTTTTCCTTTATTCTCTCTGTATATTTTAATCTCTTTTATTTTTTTGTTAGATGTGTTTAGGTCGGTGTGTGTGTACAATTGTGACGATTTCTATACATATATGTATGTCCAAAGTAAAATAGATGAATTGAATTGAATTGAATTGGAATTGGAGCCTCAATGGCTATAATGATAAGGCACATAGGTACCTTATGCCTTGTGACAGGTGTTAGCTATACAGAATAAGCATATTCGAAATATTTCTGTTAGAAAAGTTGTGAGTTTCATTTAGTTGTATATCAACATACCTATGATATTTCTTGAACGGGTTTGCGAAAGAATGTCAATTTGGGTACACCAATAAGAATTAATTGCTGGCCAAATACCATGCCAAGATCCAATAGGAACAGGTTCCTTAAAGAAAATTAAAAAATTAAAGCCATGGTAATTTTCTGATGTGCGTTATTTTACCTCGAATCTGAGGTCTGAAACAGGTGGCTCAGCATATGGTACTCCTTCGAAAGAGCTGAATTTTTTTCCATCGAAAGAAGTTTCCCACGTACCCTTGACTTTTCCTAAGGGTAACTCCACTTCTGGCCCGTCCCATGATGAAACTGAAAACAATATGGTTGTCAAATCGGAAAAATGAAATTAAGAGATATTCACGTAACCAGTTCGGAAACACAGAGTTACAGATAATGCGTTTTTCTCCGATTGGCAGCAAATATTAATTTTTCTGACTCGTATCAATCAGCAAAGTATTACTTTTCCTGCCTGCTGATTGATATGTGTCAGCAAAATTAATAATCCATAAATCGTTTATAATTTCCTTCATATTTCATCCGATACTTCTCCGGCAACAAATTAAACTCAATATTGTTTGCCACCTCCCTTATTTCTGGAGGAGTGAGTACTTCAAGGTCGCTATCACTGTCCATTATATAATAATTTAAATATTAAATATACCGATATTTTTTCGCACAACGTATGGACATTTCCATAGCAACCAACCCTTCCAACAACTGCGATTTCTATCAAATTTTATTTTAATTGAACACTACAGGGAAAATAGAGAGATTGTGGGAATTGTGATAATTTGCAAATACAATATCCTCCTATATCATTATGAACAATCGGAGAAAAAATTATATGTTCAACTCGGCAGCAAAGTAGATTGACTGCCTTAGCTGAATTCAGCCTCGGCAGTCGATCTACTTCTTTGCTGCCTAGTTAAACAAATAGTAATTTTCCTAACAAAGTGCGGAAAGTCATACTTTCCCGAACGCGAATGCTGTTGACCCAAACGACGCGAAGATAGACATTCTGTTTCAACGGTGACGTACCTTCATTAATACGATTTCACAGGGGTAATAAGTCCTTAAAGTGGACACACTATATATAGATGGATGTTTTTGAAACTGATTTCGAATAATGAACTTAAAAAAAACCTCGGAACGAACCGGTACACACTAGTTTATATTTGGAGGAAAATGAAAAACAAACAGTCTACAGGGTGAGTCAATAGTGTGTTCTCCTTCGATATTATAGCAAAACCGTCAGATATATAGAAAAAATTCGAATACAACAGTTATAAGGTTTCATGAGAACTATCAGCTCGAATTATTTTCATATCTATAGGGTGTTCGAATTCCAAGATATAGGCTGATAATCGGTTTTTTAATGGGACACCCTATATATCATTGCATTTTTAGGTTTTCCTTGGAGAGCTGATTCCATCAATGCATCATACTTGGGGGCTAGTAGGAATGATAACAGAGATATATTGTGTTCAAAATCGAGATTTTTCAACTTTAGGATTTTTTTATGTCGAAACTATCCATCATTAGTCAAAACGGCTTTTTTTTCCCTATTTAAACTTTGAATTTACTATCTTCTGACATTTAATTGGAACAAATACAGGATGGTTCAAGATTCAAGTATTCTGATCTGTCCCAATCAAAAGAAGATAAGGAAATGTGGGCCGTTTTGACCAAATATGAATAGTTTCGACACAAAAAATCCTAAAGTTGAAAAATATCGATTTTAAGACCCTATATCTCTGTAATCATTTCCTCTACAGCCCAAGTGTGATGTATTGATGAAATTAGCTCTCCAGGGAAAACCTGAATATGCAATAATATATAGGGTGTCCCATTTAAAATAAACTCATCATCAGCATCTTGGAATTCGAATACCCTATAGATATTAAAATAATTTTGAGTGATAGTTCTCATGAAACCCTATAACTGTTGTATTTCTATTTTTTCTATATATCTGACGGCGGTTTGGCCGATATCGAAGGAGAACACACTATTGACTCACCCTGTACATTCCATACCTCTTGTGAAAAAAATCGCAAATATTAAACACACTACTAGCATCTTCATCATCGACAGAACTCATACACTACTATAGTGAACACCTTTTTCTATCTACCTCTTTATTTATACTAATATACCTTCTGTAAATACTTAATAAAGGAGTGTCATTAATGTTGATTCTTGTGTATAATTTTGGCCATGGGCGCCGCAAGAAAAAATATCAGAGAGGGAAGTTTTTTTTGTAAAATTGAGAGCATTGCATTAAATTGAAATAAGGATCCTTTTGAAAGTAGGATTATATAAAATAATAAATAATTATAAAACTATTTAGCATTTTGGCACGGAACACCTATACAAGAAAACAAAAATATCATAAAAATAAAAGAAACTTTTTGGTAAATCGAACCAAATTCAAATAATCTTCATATTAAAAAGGTATATACGTACTTTCCCATCATTGATTAAATATAGCAATATGCAAGGATGATATAAACGAACAATTTGTTCTTAAAAAATCCTCGATTAACCTAGAACCTACAGAGAGTATTCAAAATGTTCTCACCAAAATATCGCGTTGTGATGGAAAAGTGGGTGCCCTTAATTTCGGTTGATTATGACACACAGATCCGACCTGTCATGGAATACTGTTCCCATATTTGGAGTGCAGCACCCAAACATACCCTGAAACTGTTGGATTCTGTCCAAAAAAAAGGGCAATTCGTCTCGTGGGTGATGCCTCGCTCACAGACTCACTCACTGCTCTGGAACACCGTAGAAAAGTTGGCGATCTGGCTCTATTATAAAGATATTTTCATGGCCGATGCTCTTCTGAAATATCAACAATTGTTCCTCCCTTGGCAGTACCCGCGAGATTAACCCGTCGAATTGAGGCTTGGCACCCCCCTTCGTGGTCACTTTGGAGACCTGCCGAATATCTCTTTTCGAAGACTCGTTCATCCAACGAATAGCGAGGCTCTGGAACACATTGCCAAAGGAGGTGTTCTCCGAGGCATATAACCTCCAGAAATTTAAGAAGAACACAAATTCCTACTTTATTTCCCTTGGTTCTCACGATGTTCTCTGAACATAACAGGATCTCCCTTTTCGTGGGAACCAGAACATAAAAAAACCTAAACCTTAATCAATTTTTCGTTGACAATGTTGCCAATCTTCAGATTTTTGGAATCTTCATACATGATTTCGGAAAAATTTTATAATTTGAATATATTCCTTCTATATCTCAAAAAATATTTTGATCTAATTATGATGTATGTATATTAAATAAAGGTAATTCTGTCATTTAAATATGATCGAAGCAGATACATTAAATTTCGGGACACCCTCTATACTATAGAATGAAATGGCAAGGCTGTATCGTTTTTCTGGAGTGAAAAATATTGACGTAGACGCCTATATAAATATTGAAGATCCTTGTTAGACTTTTTTGTGATATTAATAATAGAGATTATCGGTGTGTACTTTTCGTTTTTAATCCTCAGAAATCTCTGCGATATAATTCCATCACTAGCAATACCAGTCAGACGAACTCGACACGCCCAGGCAGCACAACCAAAATTCGTCAACCTTGAAATATGTTGAACAACACTCTACCAATACTAGTTCGTCTAAAGAATGGCGAAGCTTTGGAACTATTTGCCAATGGAACTATTCTCAAGAACTTATAACCTCCAAAAGTTGAAAAAATCCAAAACCTTCCTCCTCCGTATCCTCCAAGTGATAAAAACAATATTTCTATCAGCAATGGAATCCAATAAGGTAATATGCGACGTTGCCTAATATATCATAATACCTCCCTGGATACATTATTTCGCTTGATCATTGATTTGATTCACCCCCATTGTAATCATCGCTTAAAAACTGAATATGGTACTCATATATAAGAACGAGATAACACCATCAAGTATAAAACTGACATATATAATATACAGGGTGTCCCAAAATTAGCTTGCCAAACTTCATCAGCGGCTTTTACGACCAAAAATAGGAAGAAAAGTTCCAATGAATCATATCAGTCGATAAGAATGACTCCTGCTTTCCGAAACGTTATGAGAACAAATAATGCAATTCCGTACAAATGATAAACTTTTCCTGCCTAATGCAGTGGAGATTAAATTATTTCAAAATTCCATGCAGGTGTGTATAATACAGTGTCTGCATTAAATATCGCTAAAACTTTTTTGTTTGCGAATTTTTCGACAATTTAATCTCTGATTATGAAAACACCGTTTTACATATACAGTATGATGCAAATGTATGGAATAAATTCATTATTTCAGAAATGGGTTACATTTGAAAAAATTACAAAAACACGTGAGTTTTAATTTCTGAAGCCTCATCTCATGATAATCATATGAGAGATGTTACGTCACCGGTGTTGGAGTAAAGACGTAATGGATGATTTTTTCAAATACAAATAGGGGTCATGTGACACCTTGATTGAAAGGTCTACCAATCGTCTATTCAACAGTCAAGATGTTGCATAAGAAGATTGAAATTAAAATGGATTATCATGTGATTAATTGAATCTTGCAGAGGTCTGCTACTGAGAATTGAACATCGAAGGGTCGTCTAGTTAAAAAAATACGTCGAAAAAAAAATTCTAAACTCTAGTTTTTGGTTTTTTTTCGAAAGTCGTCTTGTTTTGAAATGAATTTATTCCATACATTTGCATCATACTATATATGCATATTATGCATAACATTGCCATAAATCGTAGTAGATATGGAAAAAATGCACAAAAATTTAAGTAGTTTTTTATCATCATTCTCCTATGATAAGCTCCTATATGAAATTGTTTGGTGAAAAGAAGGTTCTTGAAATTTTTATGAACACTATGCTTTGAAATTGGCTACGTAATGCATAAAATGTGAGATGTAACAATATTTTCAAATCCCTTTAACTCGAAAATGATACATCTGATCGATATGGAACAAGTTTACCTTTTAATGTAAAGAGGAGAAAATTTTCATAATCCCAGATTAAATCGTCGAAAAATATGCATTCAAACATGTTTGAGTGATATTCAATATGTTATCTCACCCTGTATTAAACACACCTGAGAGACATGTTAGAATGATTTCAAAATCACTGCATTGGGCATGGAAAGTTTAGTTCATTGACACATCGCATGGCGTTTCGGAAATATTCAAGAAATATCATCTTCAGGAACCCCTTTCCTGGGGGCTGTAGCTCCCTTAGGAGGCATTCATTGATTCATGTTCATTGGAACTTTTCTCCCTTTTTATTGTCGTAGAAGCCGCTGATAAAGTTTGGCAGGCTATTTTCGGGACACCCTGTATAATGATAATAATAATTTGTTCACCTTGGCGTACAGCACTACAGGAAATATAAAAGTGAATGAACGGTAAATAATTGAATTCTAAACAACGAAGAAAACCTTGGTAATGGGAGTGAAATTGATGAGATGAATAGAGAATAATATATAAACGACATGAATACTAATGACAATGATGATGGTTATGAGGAGGAGACTTGGTCGTAGTAGACGATTCACCAAAAGGCGAACCATGTGAGTAGTGATATACGTCTACAAACACCAAGAGATTATTATATATATGGAAATACATCTCTCTATACTACTTGCTGCCCAATTAATCCGTGAGCACTTCTGAGAAAATCCCTTTGAAATGTCGGTTTATGCACCCGTACTAATATCTATTCCAACCGAACGCTGTTTAAATCACTCATTTCTTATTGTGGTAAGAGATAGTCAGGTGTGTCTCTGAAAATTCCAATTCTTGCTGGGACTATTTATATACAAAAATATTAGAATTCGACCAGGAGCCGTTACGAATTAATTGGGCAGCACTGTACATATACAAGTGAACAATCTCCTGATGGAATGATTCATTATTTTCATTTATATATACGAAAATTGCAAGACAATAAACTATGGTATGAATTTTCAATATCTGCATGCTTATGGATGAGGGGTTGGTTTATCCATTTTTTCAGTTTCGATTTGAATAATTGAGTTGAATTGAGTGCTTCATTTCTCATATAGTTTTGGTCCTAGGTAGGTATACCTATTTTATTCCAGATTTTTTGGGATTTTCTCATACAAACTATATGTTCTTAAAATAGTAGCTACGTATTTGGTTGCCCCTCAGTAAATATATTTTTTTAGGTTCAGACCAATTCAAAAAAGCTTTGTATGGATTCATATCGAATAATTAGTTGGAACAGTGTTTTTCTGTTCATTATTATACTCATAGATATGTTTTTTTATGTTCTGGTTCCCACGGAAAGGGATATCCTGTAATGTTCAGAGATCATCGTGAGCACCAAGGGAAATAAGGTAGGAATTGATGTTCTTCTTAAATTTCTGGAGGGAACATTTCCCTTGGCAATGTGTTCCAGAGCCTCGCTGTTCGTTGGATAAACGAGTCTTTGGAAAGAGATGTTCTGCAGGTCTCCAAAGTGACCACAATCTCGCGAGGACTGCCAATGGAGGAACAATTGTTGATATTAGTAATAAAATTGGTAACATTCCTCCTTGTTCAAGACACATATTTAATATTAAATTTATGTCCTTATTTGTAATCTAATCGCAAATAAATTAGTATCGGTAGATTCCTCAAAATATCCTTTTATCGGAAAGTGCTTGTCAAAAAATGGTCGCCATTTGACAAATAATAGTTAGACACGAAAATGTAATTTTGCCAACTTGTCTTATTCATATCTATCATACTTGTCACTAAAACTTCGCGATTGTAATTTTCTGATATCACCTGAGTTCCTTGGATTAGTTTACTTCCGATCATGGCCACCTAGATGTGATTTCAAAAGTGACTCCGAAAAAATTGAGTAGGCATTCTGATCTAGAATTGTCTCAGAAATCCAAAAATGGGTGTTCCAATCTCCGGTGAAACCGGAAGTGACCAAAAAATGAAAAACATGTGAAAACTCTCCTCTTCATATACCACTTACCTATACCAAATCTCATTTTGATACACCTAATGATCTAGAAGTTATGTCTAATAGATTCGTTGACACCCGGTATACTCTTAAAATTGGACGTTTATCCTGTTGGAAGTATTACTTCTATGGGGAGTCGT